TTTTATCATCTCGACGTGATGGATGATCGGGGAGGATTATGAATGATCCTCACACTAAGTATTTGAAATTCTCAAAAGCATTTTTCCATATTTTAACAATAAAAGGCAAAGTTGGATTGGGAGAATATTTTAGAACCATGTTTTCAAAAAAGATTTACGTCTGAAATGATATTCATTAAAAAACAAACCAAGACTATTAATATACAAAATGATACAGAACGCTTATCCGAAGCATATTTTCCTTTGCTTAATATAGCTTCCCCCACTTGATTCCAGAGTTACCCTCTCCTTCGGTTTTTCGATGAAAATTGTTTATGAATTGTATTGTCATGATCTGATTTTAACATACAGTCTCTGATATTTTATTCATTAACACAAGTTCACCACATCCTGATAGGACTCATAAAAATTGTTATATACAAGTATATATATATAGCGTTAAATTTGTTGATATCTGATCAAAATTTATTTGAAGAATAATAAAAAAATCTCGAAACTGTCCGAACTGCCTGATTACGTAACTAACATATATTTTCTAACTAGTTAAGGATTAAACTGAACGATTGTAAATCCCAGAAATTTTTAGAAATGATAATCTTTTTTTTTTGCGTATAAATAATGCTTGTTTTGAATTTCTGGTATTCAGCAACTGAACTTATTCTCGAGCATTCTCGTTCGAATCGATATAAAATCTTGAATTGACGTATCGTTATTATCAATGACATCAAGTCCTCATTTCAGTAACGAACTGAAGATTGGTGTGACGTGTTATAAATTCAGAGGTCGCAACTATATAGAAGTGTCGCCCGGATACTCGGACGACTTTCGTCCTATTAAAAATGATCGTTACGACCCAGAAAACTTCCTGATCTAACGCCAGTTTGTAAAGCGGGGATAATAATCTGACGGTTTCTTCTTTTATATCGTTCGAGAATTTCTCGCATTCGTTCGCTCGTAAAAATCGATGTTATTTTTAAGAGTAATCGTGGCATAGTTCGTAAACGACACGAATTCGATTCTTTATTATCTTTGTACACGCATTTCGATTCGTTCTTTTCGATCTGTTTCTCGTCTCTCTCGCCGATAGTTCAACTCTTCAAAATATAAATGCAAGTGCACCTTCGATTTTATGAAGCACGATTAACTCTTGCGAGATAAAACAAAACTTTAAGCCTAATCGATCGCAATCTTAATTTTAGTGATGCTTAACAAGTTATTGAATGTGCGATAAGAAGTTAATTCGACGAGTCAGATCCCGTAATAGCGATAGGGAAATTTTGTCATTATTACGAAGCCGAAAGCCGATGGATGAACGAGAGACATCAGGATATTGAAATACCTCTTTGTCTGTGAGACGAGGCTGTCGATAATCGATTTCTACGGTCGTGATTTCATCGAACAACGCGTTAACATGCTTTAATTGGCAGCTGTAGTTTGTGGATTCTGCATTTTACACACAATCACACGTAAACGGCGGTTTATCTTAGTGAGAATTATTCCCGGTGCGTTAATTAATTGATCGTCTTCGTATCGCCCGTAATAAACGATTGGAAGATTATTTCACTTCATGCAATTTAGCAAAAGGAAGGAGGTTCTCATTGTTCAATGTTCTTTGCATCGCGCATTCAGGCTAAATCGACGTTTTTAGACATTTTTTTTATTTACGATTACAATGGATGTGATTTGACGAATTTTTATTCTGACTGAATTCGTCCGAATTGTTTGTCAGAAATAAAATAAGTAAATATATACACGGAGAAAATTTTCTTTTAAAATTTACCCTGAAAATATGGTAGTTGTGGTACAACATAATATTTTAAAGATTTTTACCACTTCAGTAAAATTAATCAAACTTATTTTATATTTTATTGTAGTTTTATTAATGAATGGGAGAGATTTACATTAAAATTTTTCGAAATATAATGTTGTCCTACGACTGTCATATTTTCAAGGTAAACTCTAAGAAAAAATTCTCTCCGTGCAATGAATTATGTATTCCGACGAAATGAACGTCTTGTAATTTCAAAGTTTGAAATTTTAAGAGCTTAGTGTTGCAACTATGGATGACATTGATTAATTGGAAATTTTATTATTAATTTACTCGTTAGTCGAAGAACTGAATACGTGAATAAAGTTTCGCCTCAAGAGAAAAAAATGGAGAATATCATTTCTTAATTAATTTTCTCCCATTTATTACGACATATATTTTGGCTGTGATAAGTTTTTTCCCTCATATCTTCCCTCATTCTGTTTTCAAACATTAAACTAATTAGTTTTTCAATATCTATAATATTTTATATAAAAAATAATAATACGAATTTGAACGGAGAAACAAACTTTGAACGACGAACTTGTTCTGACGAGTTTCGTGTGATATCTGACAAACTATACTCATACAGAATAACCACCTTCACATAGAAAATGCTCTTTGTTTATTTGTTTTGACGTATCCATCAGAACACGCATTCACTGTAATCATAGCCTGAACCAAGTGGACAATTGAAGAGTTTATTGCAACAATGGAGCTAACCCACAACAGTAGTTGAATGTGATATTGGTATTTTTCTTATCACTTCAACTTCAGAGTTTATTTGCAAAATGTATTTCTACAAAATGTGGATTACCTCACTGTTGCAGCAAGTATGCTGGAACATACTTTTTTTTTAATTACTTTAATTACTTTAATTATTATCCGCCGTATTATCCTAATATTTTGCGATATGACGCGATGTGTAATTTATCGCTGATGTCCTTGTATTTCGCGCTGTTAGATTTTAAGCGAAATTTTTAAACGCATGCTCGTTGTCGCTTTCCTTGGATTTCTCTCCTTCAGACATCATAATGAGAAAATCGAACGAAGATTCAGTCACGACTCAGGAATAACCTCGACGATAAATTACGCATTTATTCCGTACTCTCTCTAGCTGTTCATCATTCTTCTAATTTATGCTCTTTTTATCGGTAGGATCAAGCCGAAAATGACGGATCAAACGATCCTTAACGAGACTATAACGGAGACAAATGGAGGCCACAAGCGCTTTTTTTAGACGGGGAAAAATTCTCATCTCGCTCATACATCTATTTTAACAAGTGTTACGTGCGATAGAACATTCGCAGCTTCGTAGCGAATTTATTTCATGGATACGAATAAACGTCGCGATATATTACACGAATGTGGATTGATCCAGGAAAAAGCGAGTTGTACGCTGCTTGATTCTGTCAAGCACGTGTGAAATTAAAAATTTACAACATTTGATCTACATCGGTGGCCTCGGATTCACAGCGACATCTTCTCCACTTAAAATGTTTTTCGCGTTTAAATTAGCACAAAACAATTTAACGTATTTTACGCATATTTAACTGGCATTCTTTAAAACGAAAAAGGTGTGTATACACAAATATATTCACATTTGACACATTCGCTGAAAGAAGTGTCATTAAAATTTTCTGCGATGTATCAGAAACACTTAAAGGCAAAACAGATGATCGTAGAAAGAACTTCCTTGAGTTTCTGGGAAGAACATAAAATAGAGATACTGGAAAGATATTGGCATCCCGAGATTCTACGAGAGAACCCATCTCAAACTTCGATTTTTACTGTATTTTTTTATGTAAAAGCTGATTCGTGTTCATTTATTATTGTCTATAATGTCATTTGGGTTTTGTATAATGTTATGCAATGATAAGAAATGCTTCTGATATCACGGGTGAATCACAATGCTCGAACAAGCGAGGGGAATATAAATGAGATGAATAAAGTGAACGAGATACAAAGGGATACTTTGTAAAAACGCGCAAGTTTTCCTTCCACCAAGTGTTACCGTGATATCGATAAATTCTGGTTGTGCTCTAATAAAACTTGATAATATTTAATAATATATGAAATCTTAAGGATTTCACTCGCATTTTTATATTTTTATATTTTTATATTTTTAAAACCGAAGTGCTTTCTTGTAATTAATCACGTTGTGATGACGTTTATCCAGAAGATGAGAAAGAAGTTGAATGTTCAATCTGACAAATTGCGAAATAATGTTCTTATTTTTTACGACTGAGGATGTAGTCCACTTGATGTTACAAAATATTTGATTGACCGGAAGAACGAATATTATTAATTAACCAAAGAATGCTACAAATATTTGTAGTATCAAATGAATCATAACACTGGCTGTATTTGTGCTATTTTAACTTAATTTTTTTATCAGACGTAAGACAAGAAGAGAAATAATACTGTAATAATAACGCAATAATACTGATAACGAACGCATTCATTGAGAGATACTTTCTGTATTCTCTTTATTATGACGATTTCGATCACGATTGCTATTACAATCACAGAATTTCTCAAGTAATCATTGAATTATGATCGCTCGAGAATTATACGGATACTTTCGCTTGTCATTTGGCAGCAGATATCTCGTTGAATAATAAAAGAGTCGCCACGTGTTCCTGCCAATCCACGAACATCCTAATGTATTCGTGTTGCTACTCACCACGGATATTGGACGATCGATAATGTATATTTCGTTCTACGTGGAATGCAGCATTCGTGTTTGTAAGGGCCGGAGGAATATTGCAATTACAAAGTAGGTACCGACCGCGTAATGTTCCATGTATCCGTTTCTACCTCGTATTTCGTATTACAGTAAGCCCGTTTGCACAGGTGCCGGCTGTGGATTCCTCCACCACAGATGCTCGAGGGATTTCGGGGGAACCTTTTCAAAACTCAATTCCCAGTTTCCATTTATTTGCAATAATTACGTTTGTCCTAGGACATTAAACTGACATGTACTATTTAACTTTTACACGGCAGAATATTATTCGCGTGTAATGCGAGGAGGACCGTATTCGTCTTAAAAGGATTATGTTGACCCGGTCACAGGCAATTAACGTGGATAAACTAGTTAAGATTCATGAAAATAGTACTCTTTCTACGCTCAAAATACTTCTATTTTGAGTAAAACAAACAATGTAGGAACGATTTTCTCTAATTTCCAATGACAATCGAGTCGGTTATATAGACTTAGCAATGGCAATTTAACTTTGAATAACCAATTCAACTAACTACACAAAACATATTGAAGTAGACGTACGAAATGTACAGGCGTAGATCTTTAGCGAAATTTAATCGAAGATCATTCTTTGTTTTCACTTGTAATTTCATTTTGCAATTTTTCAACGTGACATTGCCACGACAAAATTACAATTGTAACGCACAAATTTGTTATGAAATACTTCTTGTATCGATCTTTATCGTACGAAATTCTTGAATAAGGAACAGAATCCCCCGCATCTTCTCTATCCTTCCGCTTCTCGTTATTCTGTCGTAAATGACAAGCTTAAATGAGTTTCAGCTTGCATGACCTAACAAACCATATTGATCTGGAACACCGAATTGAAACTGAACGGGACAACTGACATATCGATTCCGCAGCATGTCCTACTTTCGTCAAGTCGACTGTGAAGGATACGTCGCTCTTCGTGCTCTTTTCGATTTGTCTTTATACCGTTTGTCTTGAGTAGTCGCGCTCAATGGACTCACTCAGATTTCAACTGATCGGAGGAAGAAGGATTTCTATGTAGGAAATTCGGAGGATCGAAGGGATTCAGTAGAACGACTGGACGATATGTGACTCCGGAAAGCATTTCCCACATGCATCGACCACGAAGACCTTGGCACGCTTCTTCCAAGGTGCATCGACGTATCGCCGCGATTTCTTCGTAGCACGCATCGACCTGATAACAACAGCGTGAGATTTTTTCAGAAAGTTTCCTTCGTTAAGTACAGATACATTTTGTAGATAAACGCTTAAATGCGTGCAAATGTAATGATTACTTAAGTACGAAAGTTACGTAAATATATTAATGATACCTCTGGCCTGGTTTACGAAGCGTAACTTTTAAATACCTTTTAATTATGTATATTAATATACATTAAGAATGTAAGTAATTGACGTGTTAGAAGAAGAAAATGCGAACGGCTGATTTTCGAATAATTTATGGCGGAGTTATTAAACGTGTGCGTTCCACCCTGAACTGTTTGTAACGTGTCCTATCTTAAAATAACGCATTCCAATTGATATTGCAACTGAAAGTTCGTTATGACATACGCATCTCGAATGGATCTTTGCGCGAATGGATGTTTGAACTGTGAAATGAAATTTTGGATGGATAAATTCGTCTTAAAGCTTGGGAATCGTGATGTGAGTCGCACCACCAGTGTGCGAGTTATTTGTCGAACCATACGCGACTGTTTGTGGAAGAAACTCACATGTGCTCGATGCAATACGCAGAGGAAACTGCTTCGAAAACGTCGGTCATCCGGGAAAAATACACGGGAGACCTTGGCCCAGGAAATAGAAGCCCGATGACGCCTTGACACACGCGACGGATAAGAATCTTATCTGCACGTTAATATCTTGATAGGCCAATTATAATATTATTCTGTATTATTCTGTATCTCGGGGAAATAGAAGGAGAATGTCACGACACCTACGATCCATTTACTAATATTGATTAAGCGACTCCCCGCATCTGCCAGCGACTGCAGAGTTATTGCCACAACTGACCGTCCGACTCCTCGGGGATCCAGTACATCTGCAACTCTTCTTTAATATACTACCTATTTCACGGGGCCGTAAAGAAAACAAATTCGAAGGTGTTAAATTCGGAGTTGGAATCAGCTGCTCGCGCATCACGTTGTTACTGTAAAGGCGGGAGCACAGACTCTTGCACAACATATGATGTATAAAAAGATCCTTCATAAGAAAATCCCTTCATTTCTCTCCTTTCCATGAAATAAAAGACACAGATTGATTGATTTAAGGAATGTTGCCAAATAACATTTATGTTACATAAGATATATCTAAAAGACATCTTTTACAGGTCTTATGTCTAAAAGATGTCTTTTAGATGTAAGATCTCTAAAGTGCAACATGCATGTTATTTGGGTCTTATGCGTTATGCAAGAATTTGTGCTCCTGCCCTAGGAAGATTGAGAGGGTCGTGTAATAAAAAGACACGGCAAATGCAGAAGATCATTAGTGTGTATCTTTCATTATCTAATTCTAAGAGGATTATCTACTTCACGTAATGAATACCTCGCAGATCTGACGATAAACGTTTTAGACATTTAAACATGTTTAGCGTAATGTAAAGTTTTATTCGTGATATTTTCCGTTTTGCCGGCGATCAAAGGAGAAATTTATATCGGTTGAAATATTTCGAGTGTAACGGTGTTGTAGTGCCGCAGAAAGTCAACACGATAAAGCTGCTTTATCACTAACAACTTTTGATAGCATGATACGAAAGTAGCGTGGAATGAGAATACGATTTATTGAAAGCAATGTTCCTTTATCTGTACACGTATAAATACAGAAAAAAAACTACGTATTTCTGCAAAGGATAGAAATATTGTAAGATTTGTATTATTTCGCTTTACGAGGCAATCGACGACGTTCCTTGAAAGCGTATTCCGAGAGCGAAAGAATATGCTTTTTAATATTTTTCAACAACAAATGGATATTGTGCGAACGTATCCTCGGGCGATTTACAAACGAGCCGTCATGAAGTACAAAATATATTGCGTCATAAAGCGAAATATGAAGAGGGGAAGATGGGATACGGGATCGCATTTTTGCATACAAATCGAAATTTTTTAAAAATCGGGACTTAAAGGAATTTCCTATAAAGAAAAAACTGACCGCGTTTTTCGTTAACGACTCGGAGCGCGCAACAGAGCGATCGTTTCCGGCGGGATCGTTTTCCGAAGTGGAGGTTGCAGACTTGCAGAGAGGAAATGTCCGCCTGTGAATAATACGGAGAGATTTTTCTTACGGGCTTTGGCACGACGATGCGTCTAGCCGGGCAGTGTTGCTTCATCAAGCAAAGGTGCCTGCGAGTCTAGCCAAGTAGTCCGATTCTACATGCTGGCCAAGTGGCGTATATACGTTCTCCTCTCTTGTTGACAATAAACCTTCCTGAGTCCGCTCAACTGCACCACGTTTGGCTTTCCTGGGCAGAAAGGATTTTGCAAGGACTTGCAGCATCACGCTAATTAAGCATTTCAAGCTAATTAAGCGCGAAATCCATGGACGTTACTCAAATTTTGAAATGATCTTAAACTAAAGATATTGTGAACCAATCTAAGATATAATAGAATCAGACTCCTCGAATTACAAATTGAAGTAGCAAAAAATCCCGAGAAGTAGAAGGAGAGACATGTACATTTTCTTTCGACTTGTACGTACAATTTTATCATTGACCGCTATTGTTAATTCGTAATGTCTTTATAGCTTTTCTTGCGGGAGCTTTCTACGTTTTACTGGATTGAATAACCAAGATAGAACTCAAGGAAACGTCGCACTAAGGCGGGTGGTTGGTATTAGGATTGCACAGATTGTCAGGATAGTTTAATTTTGATTTATGTATTTCGTTGAAAATGACTTGAATCAAGTCGAAACGCGTAGAAAGAAAATGTATGTCTAACAGAACAGACAATATAAATTTATATCTAATATTATATTAGCGCGTTGATTCCTACTTCCCGGAATTTTTTGGTACTTTAATTTGCCAATCAAAGATATTAGTATTGTATTAGCATCTTAAGGCATTGCTTAAAACAATAAAAACTTGAAATTAAGAACAGATTATGAATACCGGCGTATGTCCCTTTTGAAGTCATAACTGTGGATCGCGTGAATAGAAACGGATGCAGAATACAGAATGCATTCCAACTTGAAATTTAATTATTCACCGCTTTATATGATTACGTTAGGCTCCTTCACATTTAATTGCAATTACGATGGTAATTTCAATCTCGTGCAATATTTCTCGATCCTTATACTACACGCGTTCCGGTTTATTTCGTGCTCGTGAGAGTATTATTAACATCTTGTAGAGAATGTAAGATGTTTCGTGTTACCCGTATAATATCTTCTTCCCATTAGATATAATTGTTAGCAAGGTTACCTAACGAGGCGCCGCTAATCAAGCACGGTAATTTAATGGCTGAAATCTTGACTCTAGTTCTGGATGAGCCAGTAGAATAAGCGAAAACACATATTTCTATCGAAACTTGAGTTTCGCGTATTATATTTCACAATACGTCAAAGAGAGGCTAACGAGATTCTAAAGTAATTAAGACGAGGTGACTAAGATAAAAGTATACAAGAAAAATTAGACTGGAAAAAGCATATATGAGGAATGAGGAATTTTTTTTACGTAAACTCATATATCTTTTTTTTTTTATCAACTTTTTGTATTGCGTATCCTGACATGTGCGTATCCAGTAATATTGCATATTATAGTTTAATATACGCTGCACTTAATCATTTAATAAAAAATACTTAAAAGAGAGAGAATGCGATTTGGATTGTAAACATTAATGGAGGAAATGTTGGATATTGTTTCGATCGAGTTGCGAATTTATGAAGCGCGAAAAATTTGCATTAGCAAGCGACTGGAAATATATTTTCGAAGTTAATGAAAAATGTAATCGCTGTTTCGATAAAATGTATAATGCGTAATAAAATAACACTTCTGTACGCAGAGCATAATGAAATCAGTGGAGAACGTCGAGATAATTATATATACGATTAATCGTTGCGTGATTATCGCGATGTTAATCCTCTACCGATCTACCTATTTGTCGTAAAAAGTCGTAAATACGGTAGAATGTTGTCCGTATGGACCGACATTTATCTCGATTCGTGACATTTCCAACAAAATCGGATGAGTTGTCACGCGAGTTCGCACCGAGCGGGATTAGAATTTTCGCACGCCAGGGAGAATATAGTTGCTGCGCCACGCACAGAGGGGAGGAAAAAAAAAAGAGGTCGCGCACTTGCGTAGACAAAAGGCTTACGTCCGCGGAAATGCCATGTATAAAGACAACGAGGGGTGAAAAAGAGAAAGAGACGAAGAGAGAAGGAGAGACAAGTGTCTTTATATCCCCCCCGCGAGAAAGGTCGATTCCGACTCATCCGACTCACTTGCGGAAGGTTATAGACCTTGCTGCTTCATTATTAACACGATGTATATCGATTTTGTCTGCCTGCCTCCGTAAACTCATTTCTATTCTCGCAGATATACGCACGGACGACGATTTCACCGCCGAGCGTCTCCCTCGAGGAGGATTTCCGCCGTTTCAAAACGATTTGAGAAATTAATCACTATGTCGCGCTTAGGGAGCAACATCGACGGCGTGGAGCTTTCGTTCCCGCAAATAGGATTTCCTCTGCGTGATTGCGGTGAATGAAATTTTTATCAAAGTCCAAATGGATGGCGAACGAAACAGCGCGAGAGACATGCTTCGTCGAGTAGAAACTGTTAAATTGCGTACTAATTTTTATCGTGAGCGGGTGCGAAATATATCGACCTCTTGTATTCTGAAGTACGCTATTGTAGGAGAAGCTTATTGTTCGCGTTAACGTATATTAATCTGTATGCACCGTAGGCATTCGCTAAAAATACGTCTCCAGAGCGAGCGTCGAAGTGGTTCGCGATGCGTTAATATATTCCGCCTCTGCAATGTCACTGAATTAAATTTTACAAAATAAATTGTCGACTTAATGGACGTCGATCAGAAAGAGCGGATAAGATTCTCCTATCTTCGTAAGAGCCATTTATTTTAAAAACGCCACAAGTCTAACGCGGCATTTCCATTTTATCAATTGATTTTAAAAATTGAATATATAATAATTATAATTATAATTATTTCAGAATAGATAACTCGTTATCCATAATAAATAGAATCAAGTTCGTTCTACCGTGTCATTTGTACCATGCGTTGTATAACTGATGATTGATCATCTTTGTGAATTTGATGTATGAACGAGTTAAAAAAATTAATTTGGCAAGTTCTAGCAATTTTCAACCAGATACACATTATATATAGATATAACTATATAACACGTACATAAAATATGTATACATGTTTCATATAATCCATACACTCTAAAAAATATCGAGATGGACTTAATACCATACGATGTCTATATAATTCTTACTTATTAACACCAACATGACGTGGACTTAACACCATAACTTTTAAATTCACATTATGATGGTGTTAATATTAACACCAACAGGGTGAGAATTATATACCTGAGTAGATACCGCATAATATGTTATATCTGCACACTGATACTTTTTAAAGTGTATTATATGATAATTATGATATATTCGGTATAGTTATTGAATAAAAAAATTTGTGAAAATAACTGTCTAAATAACTATAATATAAATGTCGTTATTGATTACATTTGAAAATACAAATTTTTTCTCATTTTCACCCTCTTCACTCGTCTTCTCTCTTTCAATCTTAAATTATTAAAATCGAAATTGTTCAAGCTTACCTGACAAAGTATCCATCCCAAAATCTGTTTCGGGAATAAATTCAACTGACTCTCATGTTCGTTTCTTTGTCAGTAAGATATTGAGGATCTAGAAAACAACGATACAGATCTTTCTGGCAATTTAGCGATGTAGATCTCACACAGCGGAATATTGTCTAGCGCTAAAACTACAATTCGGATTAAATTGATTAAATCGCGTCGCAAGGTATTTCGATATTCGCATGAATTGACGAGATTACTAGCCGGGATTACTCGGCTTTCAGTGAGAGAACTCTCGAATCCGCGCGCGCGAATGAACGACGACGAGCGAGGGTCGTCGCCGTTTGGCCGGGAAGACCGCCGACCACCCCGATGTATATCCTTCTCTTTGATGCCACGTGCTAAAGTCGACGGGTAAAGGGAGCGAGGGAGCGAGGAAACGGGTAAGAGCAACCACGTCGGCGCGTCGTGACGCTTCATCGACGCGCGCAATTGGTGCTTCCGGGGTGCAAGAATCGCGGTTTCGCTCTCTTCAGATCGACAGCTCTCTCCAGCTCTCTCGCGAATCATTTACCCGTCATTTTGACATGAAAATAATTGACGCGATCCAGCGAATTTGAGCTGTAAAATAAATTCTCTTCTTTTTTTTTCAGAATGTTATACCTGTTATATTCTCTGTGCTCCCTTCTGATGTTGATCGTTTTTTCAAACTTTCGAATTCATAAATAGCTTGTTATCGATTAATACTGCAAATAGACACACATACATAAATTTTGCAACTAACTTTAGCTTACTAACGATATCATGAATTCTCTTAGATTGATCATTGCATTATTCGGATTAAGGATTTTTTGCGTCAGTGCTCAGTAATCCGTAATCCGTGTAATCCGTGTGCAAATAGATAATTCGCAGACTGGTTGTATTTTCAAACGGGGTGTAGAGTTAATGGATCGGTTATTGAATTTCGTATGAACATGCATTCAGGAACATGACAGCGTGTAATCTGTTCCGACAGGTATAAGTACGTGAATCGAGTCGAGTGCACAATCGACGCACTGCGGAATCTAACAATATTAAAGACATTTCCCGATCGTAACGTTCCTTCCAGTTCTTTTAAATTAATTCTACCAGGATCAATTTTCTGCAAGCTCATTTCAGAAAATACCGATTTACCCTTTTTCTCCGCCCAAAGTCGACGGTGGGATTCCAACATTTGCTTCATTCTTTTAAAAGTACAATCGAAGCAAAACATGTAATGTAATTTAAAATTAAAACAAATTCTCTAAATTATATATGTGCGTTATTACGTAAAAAAAAGCTGTAGTCAAATTTTTTTTCGAGTAGAACGTAAAAGGATTTTAAAATATTTAACCATCTGCTAAAATATTTAACCACGTCTTATGATTAGTCTTATGATTAGTCTATAAACTTATTAAATTTTTATGAAATGCTTACTAAAGTCACTGCGTAACATGGATTCCCTCAACAATGAATAATTCATAAAGTGGAAGTTGCGAGAGAAACCAGGATGAAATGATACCTTTTCGTGCTATATATTCGTTAAATTTAGACAATTTATGAAAGTTCCGGGGAATACGTGACATGACCAAATAAGTTTGAACGGTTTCATAAATAGATAAAGGCTCTTGTCTCGAATCGATAATCATCAATGATAATATGTGATAGATGTGGATGGCACATCGCTGTTTCCCTTTTTTCTTATACACACGTTTTCTTTTGCCAATAAATTAATAAACTTGTTTAAAAAAAAATCTTTCCTGTGCTACATTTCTAGCAAATATTTTATTAATAAGTCGATCTTACAAAAAATCTGATTTATTAATCAAACAAATTTTATTTCAGGATAGCGACAACACGGAAGACTAGCAGAGTGAATTTTAAAAGCACCGAATAAGAGAAATGTCCGAAAATTCAATGTCTTCATTAAATTTACGCTACACGAAAAACGTCCTCAATTGTCTTACTCTGAAACAAAGGCTATTTTACGAGAAGAATGGTTTTCTAGTATTTCCCCGCCTCATATCACAAGATGTGCTCGACAAATGTAACGAAAGGTATATTTAACTTGTAAAAAAAACATATCGAATGTCCATCGTAATGCCATTTCTTTTTAAGTGTTTCAAGTGAATTTCTGAAAATCTAGTTTTATACGATGACTTTATATGAAGAAAACATTCCACGTATGTCAAATATGTATACATATAAAAGTTGCTCGCTTATCCTGTTTATGTCTACAAAACGTATAAAATGATATGTTTATTCAATGCATGCAGATATGCGCGGATATTAAAGTCTTTAAAATAAAAATTACTGCGGAGACATTAATCGACGGAATAATCTTGTGGACGGTCTACATTATGTAGCTCGATAATCTAACAGTGTTATCGAAATGTTCGATGTTTCAGTAAATTTACTGACTGATATTAACGTGTACGCAAATACTACGACCAGCTATAATGTTACAGATGACCGATTATTCAATACGGATTATCTGAAATGTCGGCATACAATAAATTGCAGATACGGACTCTGTTTTTATGGGTATTGATCACGTGTGTCAATTTCAACAGCTAATTAATGGTATCGAAATTTTTGCATGTTGAAAAAAGATCAAAGGATCTGTATTAAAAGCTGTAATATATCCAACTGTAATATATATATGCGACATTCAGGAGACATGTTAAAAACGTCCTTGAATGAAGTGTATGCTATTTGATATGTATATGAGTACTCATAAAGTTCTTTTTTATTTTCCAGATGTAACGAAATCGCCGAAGGAAAGTTACAGAAAAATACGATGATAGTAATGTACGATGTGAAGGACAGAAAAGCGCTAACTAAAATACAAGATATGCATACGGATCCGGTATTCCGTCAATATACCGAACACAAGAAAATTCTTGACATAGTCGAGTGTTTTACGGGACCAAACATCATGGCGATACATAGTATGCTCATCGTGAAGCCACCCGATAGCGGATTTGGAAGTTCGAGGTAATCATTAAAATCTTAAAATACTGTCAATTATTTAATGCAACATGGCTAAAGAATAGGATATATTCTTTTAGACACCCAGCGCATCAAGATCTGTACTACTTCCCATTACGACCAGCCGATCGTATTATAGGTATATGGACAGCCATGGAACCTTGCAATATTGAAAATGGATGTCTCTATGTAGCGCCTGGATCACATACTTTAGGGAACTTGTATCCGCATGGTTATCCTCCGGAGTCGGAAGGAGTGATGAACAAGTTTTATCATGGAATACACGTAAGATATCTCCTCAATACATCATTTTATCGAGATGTTACTTTTCCATATCATTACTTAATTTTTTTCTGTTACGAAGCAATTACCTTCGACGCTCAACAATTGGGTAAATCTTGAGATGCAACCCGGTGACACAGTATTCTTTCATCCGTTGCTCATTCACGGATCTGGCATTAATAAATCCAAGAAGACGAGAAAGGCGATTTCTTGTCATTATGCAGCAGCAGAGTGTACTATTGTTGATGTATGTAGAGAACAAGTGCCAGTTTATTATAGCAAATGAATAACAAAAATACAAATCCGAAAAATATAACGAATAAAATGTGTTCACGTTTTTGCAATATAGGATGATCCGGTCCAGGACACTATCAGGAAAGAGATTTTAGAACTAATGAAGAAAAGGCATCCCAATATGGAGATAAAATACGCGGACATATGGCGTTTTAAATCCTTGCTCGTGCGCGGTCTCCGTTCATCTTATTAAAAACGTTTAATTGTATTATATTAATTTAGAGGCATTTGTTTTCTACAAGGTTATTATTCTACGATGAAATAATAATTAGATAACGTTAGCATAAAATCGTAGATAATGTAGGATTAAATAAATAGGAATAAGATTCGGAAGAGGATGAGAGTAACATCACCACAGAAGAAGAAGTAACGACAACGGCGGGACTGTCGCCGTTATTATTTAATGAATTAATATTGCGCCGATATCGTTGCGGGATATAACAGTGTTTCGCGAGAGGATCCTTGTAAGTGTTGTCGCGTCGCACACTGGAACTTGAAGTGCGACAAGCGGCCAGACAAATCTGGAAGTGAACAGCTGTTCTCCCTACATTTTTTTGTACTTTCGCAGAACCTGATGATAAATCCTTCCGACCTCTTATTTGCTATAATAAATTTAAATCATGATAAAATAGCGATTCTTTCTTGAATATATATTTTATATGGTTTGAGTGCTTTAAATAAGTATTGTAAAGAAAACTAATATAGAATCAATAAAAACTTACCTTGTCAGGGTGTAAGCAACAGGAAACGCAATATTCGTAAATAGTACAGCACCCTTGAGAATTGCACGTTTTGCAACTATATCTTTCTCTCCTAATCATAAACGATTCTTCATTTTTTGAAGATTGCTTCTGCTCTATCGCACAACATCCATTCGATTGCACTTCATGTCTCGAACATACTATACCATGATCATCAACTATTAAACCTCTTCCCTAAGAAAATGTGAGATGCTCATCAAAATAAACGGAATGAAGTAAACTTCGATTGCCACTGTACAATTAGATTTGTCCTTAACGTCTTTTTTATAGTATGTTATTTTAATATTTAACTGTATTAATTCTTTATTTAAAAATTCACAATAAAATTATTTTTAAAAAACAGTAAATAATTGGTATCTAACTGTAAGTTAACTCATATTTGGGCAACATATTAATACAAATCCTCACTTGAATGGAATTACGACAAGACTGATTATAAGCGTCGCTTTCATTTAAATTAGATGTATCTATATTTCCTGCGTTATCAGCTGCTTGATCCAGTATTTCTATCTGCCACAGTGGAGACTTATCGGATGCTCTTAGCTCTTCTAGCAGGTTATCATCAGGTATCATGTCTTCATTATTATCATTAATCATCATAGGATCCATATCGAAATTGTTGTCTAGATTTGGTAGCCCTTTCTGTAAAGAAAATGACAAAACCTCCTGTAATAAAAATTATAATAATATCCATAAAGATTCATAGTTGAATTATTAACTACAATTTGACTTCAATTATATAAATGTACCTGCCTTTTCATTGCGAAGTAACGAAAAGGCACAATATGTCAATGACAGAGCGAAGATGAGCCCAAGAACGAGACGTCGTCTAAGTAATCTGATGAAACTCGCGCAGCTTGGCATCCTTCTTTCGCTCTGTTTATACACTTGTCCTCACCAAAACAGCTTCAAGTTTCTCTGGACATAGTACTTGCAAGATGATCATTGTTCCGTGCGTGATCGTGAGAAGAGTTCGTTATAAAGGCATTCGACATCGAAGTGATTGCAAATTCGCAGAGATCAATTTGAGGAGAGGTTAGATTTGTTATTATTATCAAAAGTTTATGGAGCACTATAAATATTACTTTGCTGAGCGCATGAAAGTTATCAGTTTTTCATTATCACAAGGATAAATGAACGGCGTCGATTGTCGTCTCGTTGATAGAACGAATTTCATTAATTACGAAATGCAAACGAAACGATGCGAAATAAACACGCGGTAAAGCGTGGCGATATGACATGACTGATTTGCCCGTTGAGTTTATCGATTTATCAAACAATCTGTCCTTTTCCGAGATATTGCGGTAGATGTCGTTACTTTTATGTATTACCGACGAGATGATATAGAGAACAAAAAAGTAATTTTGCAGCAATATATAAGACATTATAACATTATAAGTCTGAATACTTATTTATAGAATATTTATATACTAAAAAAATCATCAATTTAATGATATAATGTATTATCCAAATAATCGCAAATTTATATCAATTGTCGATAATGCCAGCGTTCCTTCAATTATCTCCAGGCCCTCAGAGCTTTTTTGTATGGGCGAAAATATGCCCAGGGTTGACGGTCTTTAATAGTATCTCGTCGGTGGTATAATTTTTATGCAATTTTTTTATCGACTTTTAATGAACCAATAAAGCGAAAAAGGGATAGGCGAGCGAACACAACGGTGAACATAAAGCTACAATGGCATTATACCCAAGCAGAACAACAAGTCATTTAATATCAAAATGATGTTAAAAATGATTCTAAAATATCGTTATGATTCATTTTAACATTATCGTGACTTGTTTGTTCTGCTTGGATATAGCCAAAGGAAATATAACCGTAGGCTTTTGTATTTTTTCAACATAAAAAATTTTTTTTTTTCACCGATGAAGGATGATGGGTTTCATTTCAAAGCTATTATCTTTTTTATTTTCCAATACATGCAGAAAAATTTTTTTTTTACTGAAAAACACCGGATGATAGGCTTCACTTTGAAGCTATTTTATTAGTTGGAAAATACGGTATTATACATATGATATACATATATAAGAATATATATATATATAACTAATAAAATATGGTAGCTTCAAAGTGAAGCCTATCATCCGGTGTTTTTCAATAAAAACAAAATTTTTATATATTTTTTGTATATATATATATATATATTCTTAAATTTTCAATGATAATTAAAATCTGCTGAGAGCCAACGCCAGTTGTAATTGCGAATTATAATTTATCTTCCAATGCACATACATAAAATAAATTAAATAACATAGACGTTTCGACCCGAGTTTTGGGTCCTCCTAAATATTAACGAGTAACGAATGAAATATTGTATTATGTACTAGACATTGTTCTGCGAATCGTTTAAAATGCGTTTCCGTCATCAAGGTATCGCTTAATATCCAGAATTGTGCTTAGAACAGTGAAGATATCGCTTACATCGAGAACGGTGCATAGAAACGTCATTAGACTTCCTGGTTTAATGATAGTTTCAGATTGCTATGAATATCGATGTTACGTGTACGTAGGTCATGAATATAATGAGGTATCGATGTAAGCGATACCTTGACTGTTCTAAGTACAATTCTTGATGTTAAGCGATACCTTAACGATGGAAACGCATTTCAAACGATTCACAGAACAATGTCTAGTATGTAATACAGTATTTCATTCGTTACTCAACATTAATATTGAGGAGGATCCAAAATTCGGATCGAAACATCTATGTTATTTATTTTATATGTGCATTGGAAAATATTATAAATTATAATTCGCAACTACAACTGGAGTTGGCTCTCAGCAGGCTTTTTAACTACCATTGATTATTATCATTAGACCCTATACTTTTTTGATTCCCTAAATTTTATTTTATTTATGTACTCTCGATTAATTAATGTATTATATTTAAATTCTAATTAATGTATTATATTTAGATTCTAAAAACAGGTAGCTTATTGTTAGCGGAAATATACATTCATATACCTATATACATGCTATATAATTACTGTAGTGCCTTATTTATAATAAGATTCATCATAAAATTAATTGTTTTAAAATTTTGATAATATGTTTTTGCGATTCCTACAATCTATCTTCTTCAATGGATATATTTTCAAGGAAATTGCAGTTTACGAGTTATCTCCGTGTCTACATAGTTAAATGCCAACGATGTAAGCGATAACACGTTCGGTAAATTGCAGGCGCATTAATAATACCACATATTAAGCGCTAATCAAATGCCAAACATTTCACGATATACATCGCGAGACGTGGAGTAAACCCTACTGAAAAAAATCACGTCATACAGTTGGATGATGAAATCATACAATTAAAGTATGTAAATCACATAATGGATTGTTCCAAATCAATACGTGATTTTAAAATTACGTATTTTGAAAAGTTACGTGATTACATGCTCTTTTTTCTTCTATTTCTATTCATCCAATTCTTTAAAATTTAATAAAATTTTATAATTAACATTACATGATGGATGAAATTGTTTATAATATCATGTGATTTTTTTCAAATTACATCATTTTAAAAAATCACGTACTGATTTGGTTACGTGATTTACATGTCTTACATGTAAATTAAATTTACATGTGATTTATATTTACATGTAATTTACATTACACATTACGTAATTAACATATTTTAATTACATGATTTCATCATTTTTCAGCAGGGAACTGTCAAATTTATCCCAAATTATCTTAATTTGTAGCTGCGTTCGACTTGAATAATTTTTATCTCAATATCTTTATCATTCATTACATGAAAAATGAAATTTACAACGCGTAAGTGTTTGAGGCATATGTTTAAATTCCCACGAGAATAAAATATCACTTTATTATGCTATTCCGAATGTTAAACAAGGGTCTGTTTAACAAGAGATTTATCATCTTTTCGCGTATAGAAGGGTAGAGCGGACAAAGTGAGGTGGAAATGTACTCTCTATTGTGTACGTAAATACGAAATATTCGGCCAGGCTTAAAATTGAGTGAGTGAATTAATGGAAACCCTCATGTGAAGGGTGATAAAGGGTTGCAGAGGCTGTAGCGAATATTCGAGAATCTGAATGCACTTCCAGCAAATGCAGTTCAGTAGATCTATTCGTGTAACTCTTAAACAAAAATTTTATTGTAAGGATGCACTGTTGCGCAACTTTTTTATCATTGCATATATATAATATCTGCGTAATGACACTTATAACAAAATAATGAAATTTTTATTACAGAATAGGTCTGCTGGTACGTATTATGAAATTATTCGGAATGGAATTCGATTGAAATTATTCCGTTTCCTTTAGAAAACATAATAGAATTCTAGAGAATTCCGGATCGGATTCCAAACAACTCCATAATATATACCTTCTTGATAAGGCCGTAATACAGACTTTTGCATAATGCACAATACATAAAGCATAATGTTTTCTATAAGAAGCTATTATCTAAGTTTCAAAACGGGGAGCACAGACTCTTACATAACGCGTAATACGTAATGCATAAGGAAATGTATCAATTAATTTCTTCGTTTCTTTCCTTTCCATAAAATAAAGAACTTTGATTGGTTAAATTTCTTATGTTTCATGTGTTATGTAAAGCCCTAAACACAATGCGAAGGCAACAGCGATAACGATAACGATCGCGATAGGAACAGAGGAATCCAATATACGGGAATGCATATTATGTGCATATTATCCTATGTACTGACATATGCATTCCCATATGTTGGATTCCTCTGTCGCTATCGCTGTTACCTTCGCATTGTGTTTAAGGTTTAAGAGTCTGTGCCCTCCGCTTTAAGGTTTGCGCACAATTAAAGGAATGGGGAATAGAGTGTATTTCAACCTGTTAGAAGCCATGTTGAATACATTAAATTCTAGTAGCTCGAAATTCATATTCTCTATTTCCCTATTCCTTCTACTGTCTGTCTCCTATTCTTCGATTGTGCGCAACTGTTTGAGAATTATTTATACATTACCGTGCTACGGCATAAGTTAACAGTTTGCGACATGTACAAAGGTGCCTTTAGGGCTGTTGCACTATCCGTAATGGGCTTTTTACAATAAGTCATTATCTAAGCTTTAAGACTCAAGCTATAAATAATTGACCAATCATAATCAATTATTTTCTTATATTGTGATTGTTAATTAATCATTTTATGATTTAAGACGTAAAGCTGAGGTAATTGCTTATAAGAAACCTTGTAAGCCCAGATCTACAATAGATTTTTAAGCCATAAGGAATGGACGGATCATAATCAATTATTCTCCTTGCATTCGACTGTAATTGGTTAGTTTTTTACAGCTTAAAGCTTAAAACACCTATTGCAGATCCGAATTAAAAAATCGATCAGTACGAATCTTAAAAGATAAAATAAATTTCATGGAAAACGAAAGAAATAAAGGAATTTCATATATTTTTTTATACACTATAGGTGCATTCGGGGAATCGCTAGCATTATTTGTGTTAAGGCCATGGCACACAAAAAATTTAAGACAGTAAGACGTAAGGTAATCAATATGTTGGATTTGCTACTGCTTATGTTATGGCTTTACGGACTCTATTGTGATTGGTCAATTCGCTTACGTCTTACCACTTAAGTTTTTTTGTGAGTCATGGCTCTTAATCTATCCTTGTTTCACGTTTAATAAACAACGAAGATAAGAATCTCAGAGTAGCGCTAATAGCGTCTCTTCGAACTCACCATATGCGACACCATGCCTTATGCGTTATGCAAGACTCTGTGATTCCCGCTCATATTTTTACATCTATAGATCAATCAAACGCGTATCTCAGTAGATTACTTTTTGTTTTAAAATAGTTGAGTCTTTTTCTCGTTGAGCATAACAGAAACAGGATATTGACAAGACGGTTCGTTTGTAAGATCGTTTTTCAAGAAGATAAATTTCGTTATGGCTTTCAGATTGACTCAGTGGTTTATATCGTTTACTGTATTTTTGATCGTTCTGCTAGTTATCGTTTGGTCCGCAGTACATCTGGGCCAAAAAAAACAAAACGTCACAGATATTGTTTTGATATTTTTCAAAGCGAATGATTATCCACGGTAATAATTTACGGAAAAAAATATGTTTATCTCTATTTAAAAAAAAAAGTCTTTTTATCAACATATTTTTTTTTTTCAGCAAACTACTTTATTCCACGGAATTTGACTTGACATCGCCAGTGGTAGAAACTACCGATACGACAACCGAAGTTTTTTCGCCAAGGCTCCATAATACCAGATCGTGCGTAATTTTACAAAATTCAAACTTTTTATTGGAATGAGAATACGCTGTCAATAATACGCGAATTCTGATATTGCATCAGCGATATCACGTTCTATACCGTCGGAAACAATTCATCGTGGAACGACGATATCACATACAACACGTCTACCGGGATTTTCATATTTGATTGACATATTCGATCATCGTCGAAATATTAGAGAGAAAGTTACAATATCGTAAGCGTAGATTTTTAATTGTTAATTAAACATACAACTATTACTCTCTCATATATGCATAAATCGTATATATTGCGCAAGCGAAACTTCTTTAAATAATTTCGCAGACCACATCATATTTTCGCAAACCGCACATTCGGCGCATTTAACACACGAAGCAGCATCATTCGACATAATGATAAATTGTGAACATCAGGTTTGGGTCAATCTGAGCCGAAACTGAGCTTTCCGAAAAGATGAAACGTCTTGAAACATCTTGAAAAGATGAAAAGAATACGTCGAACGTGTCTGTAATTTTCTCATTCTCACAAACACAAGTGTCCGATGACAGATTCGTAAAATATGTGGTAGAACGAATGAAAATAATGCATATTATATCAAATGAGAAACACGTGGCGTAGACAAAACCCTTAGGGTTTCTTTCATCAACCTCGATTAAGTTATAATCGATGGTTACATGGGGCTCATTTAGACCCAGATTCAACTCATACTTAAAAACTAACCTCGGTTCAAAATTAATCATGAGTTATGAAACTGGGTCTTAAGCTTAAACTGGGCATTAGCTTAACCGAGATTGGTGAAAAAAAATCCTTAAAAAATAACACGTTATTATAATTATCACCTTTATTTAATCACGTGCGTTTCGTTACTATTTTGTACATTTTTCTTATTATTTTATACATTGAATACTGGAAGTAGATGCAATGAATTAAATGCATTATTTATATGATTTTATGATTACAGTGAGACAATAATAAAATATTGGTTTTCATGCGTCACAAAATTTCAGACACGGAAATTTCAGAGTTTTTATAATAGATCTATAAAGCACGTTATTAAATAATTATTTCTTTCACAAGAGATAAAAACAATCATAGGAAGCACGTTTTTTTTTTTAAAAGAATTGAGCATCGAGATCCGATAGGATTCCCTGTCATGCGTTGTAATAATTGTTCTCCCTTTTACCACTGCAGTGCCAAAGACGGTTATACCTTGGTGTCCAATGGAAGTGACGTGGCAGAAAGAAGCAATAACTCCGATTACACTCCCCAAATGCAGCCCTTGTAATACCTATTCTAATAATACATGGGTTGCCATCGTTACGTCTGGGAGCAAGGCGCTTGTTATGGAGATGTGTCGATGTGTAACATGGACGTATACAGTATTTTTTGGGGGGGGGAGAAGGAATATTCATTAATTCTGTTACACACATTTTTTGCGTCAATCGCTTTTTTTTGGCTATTTTAGAATTTTCTTCTCGTTTCTGATTTTGAATGGGAAAGATATTACATTTTGTAACTTTTATTTTTTTCCCTGAAGAAAGTATAATATAATAGGCAAAATATAATTATTAAAAATGAAATGTGGTAATTCTTTAATATTATTTTAATATTATTTAGATATAAAATATTTGTTATAATTTTTCTAGAAAAAGAAAAGAAATTTAAAAAAATCAGAAGAGAGCATAAAAAAAAATCTCTCTGAGAAAAAGAACATTGCTAAAGATTAAAAATATTAGACTAAAGTTAAATAAAAAGAAAAAGGAAATAATAAATGAAACAAAAAAAAAAAGAGTTACAGTTGTATTTTTCATATTTAAAAATGAAGAAAAACTTTCGGGGATTTGAACCTCCCAAACTTTTTTCCTGGATACGTCCATGCTTTTTCTGTTATCCTACCGCTACATCGTTTTAACCCAAGGGTAATCAGTAATGTAGTCTGCTGTGGTGATTTCTATCTCGTCGCGAGAAAACGAAAAATCACAATTAGTTTTCATTCTCAATTGAGAATCCATACTTTTTAAAATTTATTTTTTTTTATTACAATATTAATAGTGACTAAATGCTGAGAGTGCACATTTTAACTAAAATTATTTATGCATGTGTAAAGTGTAAATTCGGAAATATTTTAAGATTTAATTATTTTATGACTTCCAAAAAAAAAAAAAAAAAAAAAAAAACTTGTAAAATCTGAAGAAGGTTTAAATATTCTTTTAAATCTTCACAAATTCAACACATGTGAAATTTTAATGGTACCTATATGAAGATTATGTTTTCACCAGGGGAGCTAGTACCAGGCAGTTTTGCGCATGACTGTTACAGCGTTAGCTTCGGGTGCAGGTGATTCAGGCAAGGTAGTCGCACGTGTGTTACAGGCCTGATCAGAGCCAGTATCGACAGATACATAGACGGATGCTGGTTACAGTCGGAGTTACAGAAACGAAAAGGTTAATAGCATTAATATATATCTGCTCTAGAGTTTCGGTTAATGGCGTCAATTGGGTGCTTCTCGTCACGTTTTCTTGTGCCAATTCCAATTTCTTTCGTCAAGCTTCGTCTTGCGAGCTAGCAATCGGAGCAATCTTGTTTTTGTCTTCGTAAACTCGAAACGATATCAATCTTCTCTAAGGGCGGTATTCGTAGTCCGTTTTTATTTTAGGCAATGTCTTGAGATGCTAATACGTAGGCTCTCTGATTAGTTGATGACATCTTAAGATTGTGTTTAAGATCTTAAATAGAAGATATCTGACTATGAATATCGATCTAAGAGACTAAAATATTTTAATACGTGAATGTGACGCAAAAGGATCATATTATGAATAAAATGGTGTTTCGTAGTGATCGGCGTTATGGCGTTATAAGATCTCTTGATCCTTTTGCGGAGTGCGGTCTAAACGTACAGTGTAAACATTTTATAGGTAACGCTGGTATCTTTTTACTGTTTATTTATTTAATTTGATTCCGAGACTGGCGGTTCTTTTGTTGGCTTACATCAATGAACGATTAATTGCATTAATAGTGGTTAAGTAAATAGTCGTTAAAAAGAAGAAGCTCAGCGAGGGTTATTTCCCCGCGAAAGAAACCGACTCTAGCGACGGTGGTGTAAGTGATCTTGATAATAGACAAATATTGCGCAAATCAGCCCAGACTGTCCATTTGTATCGTTACCGTCGTTTCGCAATGTCGGCGTACGTAGACCAAGTAGTGCGTTGCGAGGCAAAGATAGAGGCAAAGACAGAGAGAAAATATTGCTGCAAGCTTTATGATCGAGCGACGCATGGAGGTCGGAAACATCTGAAGCCAGCGTCGTCATGGATCATCGCGAAAAAGCTGTCGGCTTTGCCGATCAGCGGTTATGTTTGTCGGGGATGTCGTCGCGAATTTCACAAGGTATCGATATTTCGAGATACAGATCGCATGTCGTTTCAATGTTGTATCGATGTCATGAAGAGGTTCCGTGCTGTGATGAAAAAATTCCACTGAAAGGTGAGGGTGAAAATTCAGGGCTGCGCAATTTTACTGTAACAAAAAATGATCCTTTTTCCAACGTAAAACCAAAGGTAATCTGATGCCTGTAGATTTTTTTTAATATGATCCCATTGAAATTGTTCTGTCACGTTGGTCACGTTATAATTTAGAAAAAATTGAAATAAAGCTATTTTAGTATATTGTTTATTGTACGATATGTGACATGTTGAAGAAATTTATTACATTCAAAATTATATTGTTAGGATTTTCAGTCTTTCAAAGAAGAAATTTATTCTGTCGATTATAATTAAAAATACATTTATAATTAATGTACATTACATGTATCAGAACGCATGTTGCGTCAGAATTGCCATTTTAATATATTACGATATTGATAGAGCTTACATTAATCTTTTTAACGCTAATGAATATATAAAAAATTTTAAGACATGAAAGATTTAAAAATATATTAATTTTGATTGCATAATTTGTATTTTGATTGCGTATAAATTACTATGCGTATTAATTTATAGTGTAAATATTTATAATTGTGCGTTTTTACAAAAATTAATATTTTTCCTCTAATCGTGTAAATATGTCTTATAATCAGAGTTAGATAATTAAGTTAATATTTTTTAAAACTAAATTAAATTCCAGTTAATAACTCAGAAATTAATTTAGTTGCAAACACAATACTAAATGATTGGGTTAATGAGACTTGGCAGTGTCAGAGTCGAAATGTTCGTTTGTACATAATTAATTTTAATATATAAATTTATAGTTGCGCACGGACAACTGCGTGTCAATTCTCATTAGCATAATTTATTTATTTATTTGTTGTATTTGTAAAACTTAAGAGTTCCGAATTCTTTATTTTTTAATTTAATTACGTTAAAAGTTGCATGATTAAAAAACTAAGATTGAGTTGTTCTATCTTTCGGTAAACTTCAGCTCACTGTCTTACTCTCTTACTCTTTTATGTTTTACTCTTTTAATTCTTTGTTCATCCAATAAGTAAATTACCACATAGTTTACCTTAACTATGTTTTAAAGATAGAACAACCGGCTCTAATTCAGTTAAAGTTACGTTAAAAGTTACTGAGTTAACAAAAATTAAATAAAAAATTAATTTTGAAAAACACTTTTATTAAATCATAATGTCCTAATTTTTCTTAAAATAGATGACTTTAAATAACAAAACAATTACAATATAAATCATCAGATAAAAGTTTAATATTTCATTTTTTAATTTTATAAAATAACAAACAAATAATTTTTTACTAGCATAGACTTTGTATTTAACTAAGGTTATGTTCGGAAAGCAGCGCTATTACATCATTTGTTCTGTATCGCTCATTAGACGTAAACAAGAATAGAATGTCGCAATAGTGCTGATAACGTTTTCTAAATACAGATCCCAAGTTCGTCCAATTACCCACGTTCATCTTTGGATATTACGAGTGTTCCCTCGGGAAAAAATACATTCAACTAGGCATTAGCGGACTGAAATAAATTTCGAATTAAATATTAATCCTCAAGTTTGAGATTTGGCAGCTGACACTTCTCTCTAGTTGCGTCCATCATATGATCAATACTCTTTTTTTCAACTAATTCTCTTTGATATTTAAGATTTTATAGAAAAAAATTATATTTAAAGAAATAAAAAAATGTTAATTTAAAAAAGGAAAAGTTAATAAATAAAAGTTTAAAAGTAACTAGATTAAGTTAATAATATTGAAAAAATACAAGTCATGCTCCTAATATAATATAATTAATAGTATATGTTATAATTTCTATGTAAATTTCTGTAATATTATATAAATAACAATGATAATATATCAACATTATATTTATATTTTTTTCAGTGTATATATCAATATGTCAAAATATGCTAAAATAGTCCTTTTCGTAATTTTAATTGTAAATTTTTTTAAATGATGATTGTGACATGACAGCAATTTTGAACAATGGAGTCATAAATGTCCAAATAACTACGAAAAATGGTTACTTTCTTTCTTATGCATTTTTTGTTGTATAATAATATTTTAATATAATTTGTCGATATTACAAATTGAAAGAAATGCAGTGATAGATGTTTCCTCTATTGAAGAGATTGTAACAAAAAGAATCCCTCAAAATAAAAATATTCTATTGTTGCATTCTACCACTTGATAATCACGTGCCTTATGTCCGTTTCCGTTAATGTAGATTAACTAATCTCTGTTTAATTTATTCTTTATTTTTTTCTAATTCTTAAAGAAAGATAAAAAGTAAGTTAAACCAAGAAAAAAATTAATCTCGGTTTAACTCACTTTTTATCTTTCTTTCATATAAATCACGCGATTATCTAATGGCTCTTGTGTTTTTTTGTGTTCTACAAAATGAAAACACGAGCAATTAAGAGCCTAAATTCTCAGTAATTGGAACGATTATATCAACATATATTTCTCAATACTACATATATATAACAAATATCGAACGTTTCGGCTTAATTCAAGCCATCTTCAGCAGTCTATCTCTATAAAATCTCTTGATGAATAATTCCAAAACATCTTGATAGTCTCGTATAATACAATTCAATATTATAAATTAATCAATCTTTTATATTAATTTATATACGTGATTCTGCTTTGACTATGAATATGTCGCTAAAGATGCTTGGCGTTGTGATGCTCTTTTTCCATCGTGATTTAATTTATAGTATTTCATTGTGCAGTTATGGAGTGCAGTAGCTCGCACTTAGTCTAACAGCTAAATAACGGTTACGTATTCAGATTTGGTAATGGGAGACTCCCTTGTTGCAGTCGATTACTTTGATTTGCGACTACTTGAATTGTATTAAAGAAGTTGTATTATACGAGATTACCAAGATATTTTGGAATTATTCATCAAAAGATTATATTATACTAGATTGCTGAAGATGGCTTGAATTAAGCCGAAACGTTCGATATTTGTTATATATATATAGTACTGAGAAATATATAATCGCTCCAATTACTGTGAATTTAGGCTCTTAATTGTCCGTGTTTTCATTTATTGTTTATATATAATTTTTATCTCAAGAGCCCAACTTTAATTATTCTCTGTTCTGTTAATTATAAAAACTTTATCATTTTTAGCAGGCATCGCTTATTCGCTGTATATTATGATGTTATACGTGTATAATCAAATTGATTTCTGCGCCCTGATAATCATGTGTCGTTTGCCATTTCGTTTTAAATTATTTGCCAATGTCACGAGTCCAAGTTTATAGCATCATATATATATATGTACATTGTTATTATCTGTAATCTCTAAATTTTATAAACACATCGGATATCAATGGACTTACAGGCTTTCATCTATGATTATTTCTAAAATTAATTACTGTTACTCAGACTAATTATTCAAATGCACAATGGCAACTTAAGCACTTTGTGTTTAGACTGACGCATCATTTGACACTCATATCAAATACGTACGTTCATTACACTATGCCACATAGATTTAGATCACAAATTAGACAAAGATGATCCTTGAACAATGAATTCAATTGGATGCATTAGTGTGCACTGATGTCTATCAAAGTCGTTATATACAGATTTAACACAAATGAAATGTAAACATGGTTAAAGAGTTCTGTATAGAGCATAGAAATTTCACAAGCCAAATATTTGGCATGTGGAATTCCACATGTCAGATTTGAGAAACAAATATTGAACTTGTGTGATTTTTAAGAAATGTACATATAAGATAGAAAGTAAACACGCGGATTGTGAAGACCAAATAACGTGGCAATAATACACATCAATAAAGAGCTTGCACAATTATTGAATGCAGATATTTTAATGGAGGAGTTTATTTGCGAAAACAGCGCTCCAGGAATGTGTTTCGCAGTTTTAACTCAATAATTCATTTATATTTGTATTTATTAATTGTACAGGCCTAATACATGTTACACTTATATGTACATTTGTATGTATATATACAAAAAATCAATCCCACATTTATTATTCTTTTCCTTTCCAGTGTTGGTATTCCACATGCCAAAAAATTACAAGTCTCTGCCCACGAATGCAAATATTTTGATTCATGACGTACATGTTTTGTCCAACACAATAAAATATATTGAGGATTTCGTGGTTTAATATTTAAATCGCTGTTTCTATATTTATATTAAATATGCATCTTTACGTCAATCTGTGTACATCTTTAATATGCACTCGTGCGCATTGAATACATCTAACCGAATTTGTTTTTTATTGCCGAAAACGAATCCATTATTGAAATTGCTTTGTCATTCTATAATTCTTTTTCAGTCTCATTTGTTATAAACAAATTTTTTTTAATTTGACAAAAGGATTTTACGGAAGGATGTCACAGATTTAAATTTCGTTCTTTTAATTTATTTATACTGTGTAATTTTTTATATATTTTTGAACTACTTTAGCTCAAAATTACTAAAACAATATACCATTTTTAATACTTTTAAGTCTAATTTTTTTAAAAGTGGTGTGATAGAATAATTTCATTAACGGATTTCCTTTTAGCAACAAAAAATCTATAAGAATTAAACAATGATTTGACAAAAAAACTCTGAGAATAAATTAATAAGAAAGAAATATAAGTTACTAAAAAGAGCTAACGCTGATATCGATGCGTACAATGAATTTATTCATTTAGTCAATTAAATAAAAAAATAAATTGTAAACGTGACCATAATTTTTACTTCTTTTCAGTACAAATTAAAACATATAAGCATATAAAGTAAATTTAATAATATGAATAAATTTTATTATATTTATGTTATGAATAAATATATTAATAATATAAACGCCGAGATTAATATTGTTAGAGTGAAGTGCATATTTATTAAAAAAGAGACAAAATAATTAAGAAGTGTTAAGATCGTTAAGACAACTAATAATGTTACTATAGATGAAGTCAAGAAACTGCGATTCACTTTATGAATTTTACATGATTATATAATTACAGAATCATGTACTTCACATAATCCGTGATTGTTTTTTTTTTAATATCGCTTCAGAAATCAATCTTTTATTATTAATGTAGTTCTTCGTTCAAAATTCAAATATTATCCCAGTTAAATTCGTAATAATTTATCTGTTATCTGTGATTACCGAGAATTGGTTAGTATTTCAGTCGATATGATTTTTGAAACAGTCAACAATATTAATCTCACTTTAATCATATCGGTTTATTTTCTCATTGACTCTCATTAGCTAACTTATATATCTCTCTACAAATATATTATTTTGTCTGGTTTGTGGTCTAAAAAATTCCAATTGATCAGTGTTATTGCAATAATATTTATCTTAAATAAATTCGCTTTTAATTATGCACATCTATTTGCATCTTATATTTGTAAAATCGATGCATTTACGTTTAATTTTATTCAAGTTTGTTGTGCAACATATTATGTCCATGTTTTTTTTTTACCTGATTCATATATTATGTCGTAAAAATTTTGAAAGGCTCGTAGGCGTTAAATTTCACTAATTCTTGGATGGTTCCTTTCCAAGGGAAATATGTTTTATGTTACACTGCAAAAGATGTTTTATGTTGAATGCAATCTTCTTACGATCTATGCAGGCGACCGCTCATCTTCTTAGGATCTACCATAACTGTCGTATGTTACCAAGTTCACGAAAATGCTTTCATTAAATATATTTACTCAATCAGGTCAATTAAAAATATTAATTGCATTTAGTAGAAAAAACAATTTTGCTCTCTTGCAACTGTTATAAGGATTTTTAATATGATTGATTCTTGCCTTTAATTTCTCATGGATTTAAGTGTATAAACGAGATGTATTGACAAATTTTACAACAGTTGCAAAGTGCTTTCTTTGTTAAACGTAGCCATTGAAGATCTGTCTTTCAATATATTTTTTAAAGGTAGGAAACGCATCAATGAAAATAAAATTATATATATTAACCACAAGTTGCGTACACAATAGGTGTATATGGGTTAACTTAATTGAATCGGTAATGAATATCGCTGTTTATATAAAAATGATGTGTATATATACATCCATACATACATCATATATAAACACATATACACGCGCACGCAAACACGCACTCACGCAAGAACGCACACATGTATATACACGCGCGAGCGTGTATATATATATACACACACATATATACACACATATATATATATTTTTTTTTCTTACAATTATGCAAAACAATTATGCAGAACAGAATATATTAACATTTCAAGCTAGTCTTCTCGGCATTAATCACCACTCTAAACTAATATGTATAATACTATTTTTAGATTCAAAAGAAATTTTCTAAGAAGCTATGAATAAGTAATATTAAAAAAGTTCTATTTGAATATTTAAATAAAAAAAAAAAACAGATTTATAAGGTTTAATTGAAGTTGAAAGAGATTCAATGTAGAATTAAAATTTCGATTAAAATTTCGATTGTGTATTTTAAATTATCACTTTTGCAATAAGATGCGCTAAAAATATCAGTAATGCGTATATAAGAATAGAAATATTCGCTTCTGTGTTTTATGATTGAGTTTCTTTTTGGAATGATTCGTCATATCTTTGATGACTCATCTCCTCTTTTTTTTTGTTTGTCGTCCGATTAAAGAAGAAACGAAAGAGTTATCGGAAGTTTATTTAGTATCCAGATAACATACACGGAACCGATATATCTACAGGTCAGATTTTTCTCGACAGTGCAACTGCATACGTCTGTAGTATTTAATAGTATAAATAGTGATTCAACGCGTTCAGTGCTTAGTATATAAGAAGTATCTGATACGATATGATCGTGCGGAGAGACAATTTTAGTCTGAACATTTCTAAATATCTTCTTCAAGAATATTTGCGGCTCGCATCGTGTTCTATCTCATTTTTTGTTATAAAATGCTAAATAATCACCAAAAAAAAAGAATATTTATCTGCGTCGGCGAAGGAACAACAACATCGGCAGGTAGTTTCGAAATCCGGATTACTTTCTTTGCTGTATATCCAGTGCAGAAAAGGGTGAATAAAATAACTTCGAATAAACGATACATCATTTACATCATTACGAGAAATATAATATACGAATAATTTATCGAAGGGACATTAAATAACATAACGATATTAAATTTTACGGAGGGGAGGAGAGAAATATGAGAAGCTTAAGTGAGACATGAAATGCAAAGAATCTTGTTATCGTTAGAAATGATGAGCCTACTGCATCGCCCATGATGAATCTCAAGTTACATCAAGTTGCAAATTCATTTGTGATGCGTCACGTGAAACGCAAAATTATTATGAGAAAACGTTCGCGAGTAAAAATTTAAAATTTATTGTTTAAAAATTTAAAAGTTAGTTTAACGAAATTTGCAATGCAAACTTTCGTATAATATAGATGCATTTCAATAAAATTTTATTGGAAAAAATAAAAGATATATATGCTAGGTGCATCTTTTACGTACCAAAAGGGTTGTAGCTAAGAACACTTACTTTCCTTGGACAAATCCGAAAAAGTTTAAGAAAATATTATTGGTAAATAAAATAAAGGAATTTTGTGAAAAAAGAAAAGAAAAAAAAAATAGAAAATGAATATAGCATTCAACATTCCTTGAACGATTTCACTCGGATACGATAAAATTTCTTGAAGGACATTGGTGGGTATAACTTATCTCTTCTCAGGTATAAAATCGTCAGGTATAAAACCTTCAGGTAGAAACTTTGCTTTCCGTTTTCCAATTTTTACAATTAGAATTCTATTGTTGTCACATGTCTTTGTAATTTATTGAAAGTTGAACGTGGAAGATATTCGACAAGCGATCAGTCAGAAATAAACAGAAATAAAGCGTCCTGCGTCGGAGTATATGACACATTCTGGATGTCTATCTACAATAATAATTGAAAGTAGAGGAGAGGGACAGTCACAAACAAAACAGAAAAGACAATCGCGCCAGCGTATCTTACGGTCTCCTTAGCGCGGTCTTTCATCGGTTACCTCATTGGCCGATCGTCAAACTGATTAGGCACGTACGAATTCGCTAGCTCTTTTCCTGGTAGCTCAATTCCTCCATGTTCCTTTGGACTGTGAGTGTAAACTGCTGTACTCGAGAATAAGGATTTATTACTTGCTCTGTGATTTCCGAGTGGGGAGAAATTTGCTTATCCAAAAGAGAATTATCAGTGACAAATTATTTTAGCCGTGCGGGTAATGGCTGAATACAAGGAGCAGGCTACTTATATGTTTAACAACTTCGAGTTGAAGAGATGGCTTCACGGAGACGAAAATCGTCGTCGTATGCTGCTAGTCAAGGTGCGAATTTTTGTTTATTGCCGATTTTACGTAGTAAATCTAGCGAGACTATAAGACGTGTATTAATCTAACCTATTATGAAATGTTGACATTGTCGATAAACAATTTTAATACAATTTTTATACACTTTACAGTCTTTTCATCAGCATTGTGCATTTTTGTTTTGTTGTGAATTCATTGTTCTCTTCTCAGCTTCAGTTTGTGTAGAAAGTGATATTGTAAAAATTTATTCTATTTGGCGGTAGACAATTTGATGCAACCTCGAATATGTATGGAATATGCTGAAATATCTGATCATAAAATAATTATTTCAGCTAAAGAATGATTTGCGGAAGCTGGGATTATCGAAGCGGGCGACACGAGCAGGACTCGTACAGCTTGCAATGAAGCCATGTGTGATTCTAAAACGACTGTCGGTTTCCTGTTACAGGTAAGTTTCTGTTCGGTTTTCTGGAAAGCCGTGTAAATATGTTAACAATGAGAACACGTAGCGAATGCGAATAACGAATATTTATATTTCTGTTTGTAAGCTTGTTGCTTTTTTTTTTATTACACCGAGCGTTCCATCAGATTCAGTATTAGCAACACAAAGTGTTTAACTTGTGCTATTTGTTGAAGCAATAACGAACTTTCGTATTCGGTGTTCGTTCGTAAATGTATACTCAATTTAACATAAATGTTGTATCAGAGTATAGACTGTAAATCGTATTTGTAGTTACGCTTCATTCGCAGTTTATGACATGTTAGTTGCATAAAATGAGAAAGGAATTGTTTCTGCTGAGAAAAATATGATGATTTTTTTATAGGACATGACGCAAATAATAACAAGATGTAGCAATTGCTAATTATTAGAAGTTAATTATTGTGAATTAATTTAATTATAAATATTTTGTGACTAAAGTATTTTACTGACTGAAGTTTTTCATTACTGACTGAACTAGAGTACAATAAATGAAATCGTGTTCTTCGAATCCTTCTATTATACATTCCTCTCATTTAATAGTAGAATTTTCACAAGAGAATTATTTTTCTAAATTACAAAACTGTTGTTAATATTTTTTATTTAATATTTATTTTTTTATATGTGTATTATTAGGGTGCGTCCAGACTATCTAGTCTTTCTTCTTACAGTACCTCTGTATGGATTTCCGATCTTTTTATCGGGTCACAATATAATGCATTACTAGATTTAGCCGAACATCAAATCGCGAGCCGAGCCTGTGTCCACATTCAAAGATCTTACATCCACATTATCGAAACGAATATATTATAGATTTGATTAACATCAAATCATTGATTATGAATATAGATTGAATATATAGACAATAGATTAATAGATTCGCGGCTCGATGTTCGGCTCAATAATCTGGAAGCATCCTTATATGCTATTAGAACTACAAATTTGTTTCTTCACATAAAACGTTTAAGATATAATTTTTATAAAACACGAGAGACATAATATACATTATGCTGTAAATATACATATCTTGTGTTTTATAAAAATGATAGATTTAAAAAAAATATATATATGTATAATATTTGTTTTAAATTAAGATTTATTTCGAGAAAAACATTTATGAAAAAATATGAGTCAGTACATAGAAAGTATTTTTTACAGATAGTTTTTCAAACATTCTTGGCATGTACATACATAGTAACAAATTAATTTAAATGCTATCGTGCAAACTTTGGCGTTATCTTGCTTTAAAAAAAATACTTTAACATTTTTTATACATACATGTATATTCCATTTTTTCACATTTAATTTATTGTAGGTAAAATTTTTGAATTTTCGAAACGTTTAGAGTTTCAAACAAGGACGCGGAAAGGTTTTTTCGATTCGGTTTCGATTCCGGTTTAATAAAATATCAAATAAATGTTCCGATTTCACAGTTTCGGTTTTTTTTTTATCAGTAAAGAAAACCGAAACTGTAAAAATTACGGTTTTTAACGGTTTTTTTTTCGGTTCTACTTACTTGCTTTATTTTATTTATTCTTTAAATTTGAATTCTATTAAGAAGAAGAAAGGGAAGGGGGAGGAGAAAGAGAGGGGAGGGGGGAGAGGGAGTGTTTATCCGTTCACTCTTATGGTCAACACGATGCTGCAAACGCTTTGAAGCATTTTTTGACTGGTCAGTTCGTAAAATTCTTTCTTCTAATTGATCCATTAAATATTTCAAATTTGTAGCGAGACTGACCACCATCTAGTCGAAAAGAGACATCAATTGATCACTTTGAATAAAAATTACGTAAACATTATTTTAAGCATATTTCTCTCAGTTTTTTCTTACAACTTATTTGATTCTTATAGATACATCTCACTTATTACATAAAGTTTACATACGTATTCTTGAATTTCATGACTTAGAATAAATTCTTGCAACATGTTGATGAGGAAGAGTTAAATAAAAGAAATGCTAGTATCTTAAAAAAAGTTTACATTTAATATGTCTCGCGATCCCGCCAGATTTCTTATATCATATGAGGAGATTTACATTCTGGTTATTAAGAAAATTAGCGATGGTAATACTGGATTGAACATTGATGATTTGAACGAAGGAACGGGCAGAACAAAGATTAAGAACAAGGATAAATATTAAAAATTAAGAATTGAAATAGAATCGAAAAAGAATCGAAAAAAACCATAAAATTTTGCCAGTTCAGTTACAGTTTCAGTATTATAAACTATATATAAAGTATAGTTTCAAAGATAGATACGTACTTTCAAGTCAAGTAGGAAGAGGTCCTTAGTTGTACGCGATGAAAGAATTCACTCTCACCACTGTAATTTTTTGCCTTAGTTTTTGTGTCACTTTGCCCTCCTTCCTCATGTTTATGTGAGTCCCAATTCTCAGTTCGATCACGATGGTCTCAAGTGTTTCAAGGGTTGAAGAAATGTCGACAGTTTGAACGGAACTGTTGTGTTGACTAGACGTCCGCTGTTTCTGCACTGTTGTCGTAGGATCGAGTAAATTAATGTTTTTTGCACGGCGATATTATTTGTATTTGAAGGTGTGATTGATAATAGAAAGAAGTGTTTAATAATAATTGGTGTGAAATGCTACGGAATATTTCTAAATACGGATAATTGTTTAGCGTTAGGTTGTTAATTCGTCTAATATATATTATATATCATATTATCATTCATTCATTATTATTCGGAGGGTAGCCATTGAGTCTGCATAATAATTAAAGGTATCTACATTAATAAATTAGATCTGTATTCAGAATACGCTTTTACGATGTTAGTGTATATTTAGTACATAGTTCACGTTACTATACAATTTCATACATAAGCACATATTTATCAATAAAAGTGGGTTCTGAATGACAGACCATAAAGTTTAAGATAAATAGCGATGTAATTTTAGTATATATTATTAGGTGTTGGAATTAATTCGTAGCGTTTTTAAATGAAAGAATGTTATTTATTTCACATGAGCATTAAAAAATACATTAATGAAAGTACTTCCCATCACTTGTAAAACGCTACGAATTAATTCCAACGCCTAATATATTTACGTAGAGTTTAGTTAGAACCTATTTTTTCTGTTTCACGGAAAAAATGCTTTTACTAAAGTATCTAAAAAATTTAGCTACATCGATCTGAAAATAATTTTATTGCATTATCGATAAAATAATTATGTAGGGTACTCAATCTTGTTGTTAGAAATTATTAAATTTTCTTGCAGCATTACTCCTCATACTTGAGTTTTTCTATATAATTATTTTGAAGTTTTAACAAAATTATTTCATAGATCTGTATTTAAATAAAATTGTAATAAAATGTAATAAAATTTTTAGATATTTCAGCAAACATTCTTTCCGTGTTGCCGTGTTCCTTAAGGTAACGAGAAGGATCTTCGGCCAATTTTTAAACAATTTTTTAATAAAATAACGATTTAATAGGAGCAGTGGCGACTTAAATTTGACACTATAGATTTAACAGTGTTCATAATTATATAATTATATAATTATACAGTATCCGGTAAGTTTAATAAAGCGTGTAGATAGAGAAGATTAAACTAGCAATGAGTTGAAAGCAAATTACTGACAATGAGTGCTGTATTATTTTGCAATCTTTGTAAATTACGAGAAATCAATCATCACTATAGATCGCCGAATTGAGCGCATGTTCGCCCAACCTACCGCTAAATACAAGCGCACGACGTGATACGACCACCTAGCATGGGGAATTGTTTTCTTTCACTGTTCATGCATAATTATTACCGTCTGTAATAAATGCAAACAATTTCTCGTTTAGTAGTCATGACCTATGTACATTCAACGGGAACCCAGGTGGATACACGTTTATTCGGCGATCTTTAGAATTAATTTGTCGTAAATTATTGCGAAAATAATATAGGGCATTTAAATTCATTCTACTTGCACACGAACGCATGCAAATACTACCCTGTATATATTTGTTTTTATATGAAAAATTTTTTAAATAGTAATGGAAGATGCATTGGAACGTAATGAATGCATTTAAGAATGAATACATTTAAGAATGCCCTGTGCATAGCACGTATTGTGTAATAAATGATTATCAATAACGAATGTGCCTTTTTATCGGAAATTGATATGCCGCAAACTCAATTGGACGGATTGATGGATTTTGATTTTTAAGCATCTCGCAAATTTCTCGATTCCATGAAAAATAACGCAAAACAAATTCGATGAATTGAAAATAAATTTCTTGCATAGAATTTATTGTCAATAATAAATCTTCGTATTAGTAATTTCATTATTATGAAATGTTAATAAGACACACTGTTAAATTCATAATATCAAATTATATCCAATTACATTTTAAATCATTTCTATTTCGATCACGCCACAGCTCTTATTCAATATATTTAGTTAATTTAACTAAAACAATGGAGTTAAACAATTTAACAATTTTATAATATTAAAACAAAAATAATAATATGGTTCAATAATAGTAAATTAATAATAATAAAGTAAAAGAGCTATGAGTGAAACAATAATTTTTAATATTCGATAAACATAAACATATGTTTGTATTAAATGTCAATATAAAAAGTTATTGTTTGGCTCGTAGTCCTTCTACTTTAATATTATTAATTTATATTAAATTTGACTTAAATTTAGTTTATTATTTACTAAGTGTATACACTAATATGGGTGTTAGTTAGTTTGAAATTAACAGCAGTGGATTGATTTACATTATGACATAGGTATATAAAAGCTTTAATTCGAGGGATAACTTTGCTTCTTTGATATTTAGCAGGATGACTATGATAATTATGATATTTATTATAAGAAAACCTGAAATGCTAATTAACAGATAAAAGAGAAAAATATAAGTAAATATTGTATACTAGACGGGGTGAAAAGTAACCTCCTTGACCGCCAGAATGCGCCACTACTGCAAAAAAGTTTATGGTGCCTTGTAGTCCGTTCATATTTAGGCAGACATGCCAAGTGGCAGTGCGATACTGCCCTTAGTTTTGTTTTGAGAGCTGATTGTTGTTGACGTGTTTGCGAAAACGATTTTCGTTCTCTCATAAAACATTATTTTTTGAGAGGCAAAACAGCGAAGGAAACAAAAGAAAAGTTGGATAAATATTATGTGGCTAATACTCCGTCAGATTACACCGTCAAATATTGGTTTCGAGATTTTCGTGGTGGCCGCAACTCCACTACCGATGAAGTCCGCAGCGGCAGGGCCTCCGATGCGGTTACCGAGGAAAAAGTCAAAAAAATACATGAAATGGTGTTGGCTGACCGGAAAGTGAAGGTGCGCGAGCTAGCAGATGCTACAAAGATTAGTACTGAGCGAACACGCCATATTTTGGGCGAGATTCTGCATAAGAAAAAAATTTTTTTCATTCCCAAGGAGGTTACTTTTCACCCCACCTAGTATGTAAATATTGAAATAGAGGCAGCCAATGTCGATGACACATGTTGTTAATGTCATGATCCTAATGAATTCCAACAGGTTTTAGTCGTCGCTCGTTATTTGTTAAGTTATTATCAGTCAAAGTTAGTAATTATTGCCCTGCTTATCAAGAATCAGATAACTTTAAATAGGGAGAAAGATATAAGTGGACGAATTCAAGAAATACAATTTTTTTCACGCGAAACGATTTTCACCCTCCTCCTGTCAAGGGACGTGCGACTTTCGGCGTCACGTAACTTTCACTCTACCTCCTCCTCCCCCTTATCAAAGTTATCCCTCGAAAATCGCTTCGCGCGTCCTTTGACAGGAGGGTGAAAATCTTCCCTCTTGGCAGGGGAGGAAGTGGAGTGAGAATCGATTCGGATTCGGAGAAAGTCGTGCAGCCCTATGTATTACTATATAAAAATAAAAATTATATCAGAAAATAACGTTTTCGTCGGCATGAAAATAATGTTTTCACTGGCTTCCTCTATATTGAATAACGAGCGACGGCTGTCGCCAAACCTATTAGAAGTCACTCAAGGTGACAACATATGTTTTAACAATACATGTCATCGATGCTGGCTCCCTCCATCTCAACATTTATCTTATATTTTTCTGTCTTTTATCTCATTCATTAGCATTTCATATTTTCAATATTCACCAAATATAATATTAAATTTGAAAGAAAATAAAAATGTTGAATAAAATTAAAAAGCCGAAACAAAAAAAAAATTTCTTTCTCTGAAACTAACTAGTCTCGAGTTCCAGCGAATATTAGAGTCGCTGCAATGATGCATAAATCTCGTTGTTTCAGCGATATTCAATTCGTCCGACATACTACTACGCGCAGAAAGATAATACACGGTACAGAGCAATTATGTCCTCCAACCGCATAATTTCCTTTAACGGCGGAGAGTACCATCGATTCGTTCGCGCATTGTATTCGTGAATTCGACATTGGAAGGTAGGTACGAATAAAAAAAAGGTCTTGCGATGATAAAAACAGTAAAAAAAAGTCCTTCCTTGTAAAAAAAAGTCAGTGTTGCTACATTCGCCTCCTGTCGGAGAACAACACTGCGACGTTCGGTCGCACTAGCATGCGTTCACGGGAAAGTATCTATCTTTGACGCGATATTCATGAGAAAATCCGAAATCAAACGTTCTTTCTCGTTCTTTGGTACATTATGGAATGCAAAATTTCCAAGAAATCCATGATTCGAAGTTACTAGCTGAAACGTCCAAGACCAAATGCAATGGTGACGCTAAAGAAAAAAAAATAGTCTTCAAAGCGAAGTATCGTTTTCAAATATTCCTTTATCAACAGATGATTTGTAAAAATCTTTCTCATCCATTCCAAGACTTCCTTGATCGAATGTAACGTGATTCAATCAGGCGCGATCGTGTGCGTGCAAGTAATAATCGTTATTCATCTTCCAAAATGGTGATTAATAAATTTCTGGAATCAATGTGCACGAGTGTCTGCTCTAAAATAAAGATGTTCTTTGTTATTTAATGTTATTAGTATAGTGTTAATTAAATTAATATTAATTAAATAATATTAATACAATTAATTAATGCTTATATTCGAGCTAACACAGGATGACAATGTGAAAATTAATTTATTTAAATCAACATAATTATAAACGCAGACGTTTCGATCCTGTTTCGGATCCTTATCAATGCTCCGTGTAAATTAACAAAATGCAGTTTACAGACAATTTACATGGAGCATTAATAAAGATCCGAAATAGGCTCGAATAAGCATTAATTGATTGTACTGATTTATCTCAACCGAGCTTTAATATTTAATTTATTAATTATATTGTAAATAATATTAATTTGTATATATTGCGCAGCAGAACTAATTCGTTTCTTAAACAAGATGTGTGTGTGTGTGTCTATATATATATATATATATATATATATATAAAATATATTTGCTATTTCAATCATTTATCTACGATTGTGAAGATACAGATTCTAATGAAATAAATCAATAATTAAAAGTGACTATAAGACCAACTGGAGAATATATAGTGTGCGCATTAATTTATGCTATATTAAATCTATTTATCTATAATATTTATTAATCTGCTTTAGGATCCACAGTTAGGGTCCTATTCAGGTCTCAATATTTGTAGTAGAGCGAAACGTAGCTTATAAATGTAGTATTGAATAAATTAATGTATATATACTACTATCCAGTGTTAGCTATTATAGGTACTTTTAATTATTAATTCAATTATTTATTTAAATTAAAATAAATTAATCAATACAAGGATTGTTGCACGACTTTCTACGAAGCGACTTTTACTTCCCTCTGCTTCGAGACGTACGACTTTCCATGCGAACGACTTCATCTCTCAGGTTTTAGCCGTCGCTCATTAAAAATTTATTCGTTAAAAACTTATTAACAATCAAAGTTGCTAGTTATTTCTCTGCTTTGTATGAAAGGTTGAATGACTCTAGGTGGGAGGTTTAGGACCGACTAGGCGAATATAACTTTTTACGTGAGGCAAGGTCTATCCCACTTCCCCTGCTATGGGACGCACAACTTTTCACACGAAGCGTAGAAAGAGTGAATCTTCTATCTTCCCACAGAGGTTATCACAGGATCTAAGATTCAAATGCACTGCATGGTATTGTGATCCTTCTTTTGAGTCGGAAAACCAACTATGGGAAAAGAAGAAGCACAGAAAGTCGTGCGACCCTATGCGTTACTATATAAAAACAAAAATTATGTAAGAAAATAACATTTTCAAAGAAAATTTTTGTTTTTTAAAGCAGAAAATCTATCTTAAAGCAGAGAATTTTTATATAGTAAGAAAAGAGATATTATTTTAAAAAATTTTTCTTAATAACTTTTTAACGAATAACGAACGACGGTTAAAATCTGTTGGAGATTATTCACAATCATGATCTTGATAACATATATCAAAGTCAAGGTCATAGAGGGGCTTCCCTATTCGGTATATTTACCACCATTTTATTATGATACACTTACAATTATTATATATTTTTATTTTTGCATATTTTTATGTTTCAGAAAGAAGTTACTGCAATCATCGCACAGTAATTTCATTCCGATCCACAAGGAAAAGGTGCAAACCAATCACCGAGACGATGTCGAAAACAACAGATTAGAAGATAATTCGCAAGATATTGTCCAACACACATTCAAAGCACAAATTCCAAACACTGCTAGTGGAATAACATTGATTAATGCAGTAAACGCTAATAAAACGTGTCAAAGTAAGATTCAAGAGTGTGATTTGATCAGAAAAGAATCGTCAGATGGCACTAAACAAGATTTTAACCAAAAAGTAGTAACAAATATATCTCATATTGATGTTACATCAACAAATTATACAGATATTTTTGCAAAAAAATCTGTTATTGAAGCGTCACCTAGCTTTTCCTCGTCGGAAGATGAATCGCTAAACAAACATATACAAAATGTTGTTCATGAATTTATAAACAAATCATTAGATACAACTATGTTATTTCAATTGGAGGAACATTCAGACTCTAAAAGTAGTATCGATTCCTTGAAAGATGTTTTTAGAGAAAGACATAGGGAAAAGAAAGACTATGAAATAAAGCAAGAATTTTTCCCAGTAAAAAGCAAACTGTTAGATATATCACGAGAAGATTCCCATAAATCTAAAACTGATAATATCTTTGAAAATAATATTAGCTCAAGCAACGCAATAATTTCAGAATCGAAAACATATGCAAAAGTAAAAGTAATTAATTATGTAGATAAAATTCAAAATGTGTCTACTTCAGAAAAATCAGAGAATTCGATTGAACATATTGATACATTGTTACATCAAACACCCATAAAGAAAGATGTTAATGTAGCAAAAATGTATTTAAAATCTAAAAATTCGCAAACAGAGAGTCAACCTATTGAAACAGATTCTAAAACAGTAATTAAAAGAAAGATACGTTCCGAAAGTTTAGATCGAAATATATCATTGATAAAGAAATCAAAGAAGAATGAAGTGAATGTATCATCAAAAAAAGTAGTAGCAGATAGTACTATCGGATCATCTCATTATGAAATGCTATCCGATAATGAATTAGTTCACGCAGCAAATGAAAGAAATGAGAAAAAAAATAATGTGAAGATTATGAAGATACGAGCAAAATTTCACGAATGTTTTCGAGGCAATTTCGATACCGACACAAGTGAAAGTGAAGAGGAACGCGAAATTCTGTTGAATTTAAAGAAAAATAAACAACGATTTGATGATCCATTACATAATAATAGTATAACAAAAGAAAATGTAGAATATATTTTTGAAAGAAATAAGTTAATACATGATTTATCGGCTAATAATTGGCAGAAAAATATAGAGAACACAATATCAGATAAAATAAGGTCCGATAACTTATATGATTCTATTCTATCCGACAAAGAATACGCTCTACACAATACTGTAACAGAAAAACAAATAGAAGATAGTGCATCGTTAGATAAATATCCTATATTAACTAACAATTCGCAGGAAAGTACTGAGAACATAAACTTAGATAATTTATGCGATTCTAGCACATACGTCGAAAAGTTTGATGTAAGCGATGCTATAATAGAAATGCCATCGATATATAAAAGCATAAGCACTTCTGTTAATGCTTCACAAAAAAATATAAACAGTATATATTCTGATATTTCATATGATTCCGATGCATGCACCGAAAAATATTCTCCGTCCAATGTTACAATAGACGAGGAGATGGAAGAAACATTGGTTTGTGAACATGACATGTCAGATAATAATTCTCAGGAAAACGTAAAGGATAAAAAGGACGCAATTTCGAATAAAGTAAAATTTAAGAATTCAAATTCCTCTACATACAAAGAAAAGTATTTTACGAAAGAAAAGAACATACAAGATGAAGCAACAATATGTAATTATGATATGTCAACTAATAATTCACAAGAAAATATGGATGTATCGGCTGAAATAATATCTGATAATTCAAGCGATTTATCTAATTGCACCGAGAAGTATTGTGCTACAAATATTATTGTAACAAGAAAGGAAATAAAAAATAAAACATTGATATGTACAAATGATACGTTAACTAATCACGTTAATAATTCACAGGAAAATATAGAGAACGCAATATTAGCTGAAGCAAAGTCTGATAATTTAGGGAATTCCATTGCAAGAATCAAAAAATGTGATATTACAATAAAAAAGAAGATAAATCATGACGAGTCAATTAATGATGAATTGATATACATGTTACCTGATAATTCACAGAAAAATATAGAGAGCGCAATACCGCTTGAAGTGACCGATAATTCATGCAATTCCACTGTAAATACCGGAAAATATATTAAACATAATACTGTAACAGATGAAAAGAAAGATGGAATATCATCAATATATAAACACAGCATACCTAATGATTCGCAAGAACATATAGAGAGCACAATACCGGCTGAAATAAATTTCGATAATTCCATTTCAAATATTGAAAAATATTCCACCCACAATATTATAATAAACGAAAAGACAGAAGATGGAGCATCAACATATAAATGTGATACACCTGTTAATAATTCGCAGGAAAATGTAAAGAGTATAATACCGATTGAAGTACAATTCGATAATTCATGCGATTCTGAATGTGAAATTCATTCCACTGTGAATGTCGAAAAGTATGACTCTATGCATGATACTGCAAAAGATAAAGTAAAAAATAGAACATCAATATGTGAGCGTAACATGTTGGATAATGAATCAAAAAATATAGGAAATATAGTCTCGGCAGAAAAAGAGGACATACAGAATTCTTCATCAACTGACATGGAAAATAATAGTAAATGTGATATTAGCGCGAAACATAATATACCGTCCATGATTGAAATAAATTTAGATGAAAATATGAGTATAGAAAATATATATTTAAATAAAAATATAAAGAAGAAAGCAGATACCACTTACAAGGAAGCGGAAGAGGTAAGTGTACAAAATCTGCAAAAAAATCAAGAAATGCGCAATGTCGAAAGTATTAATTTAGCACAACACAAAAATATGCAAAAAAATGCAAATTTGGAATTGCTAATCATGTCTACATTTGAAACATCATACAATGTTGGCAAAAAAGACAACCGTGACATGTTAGAAAAAAATGTCGAAAATTTATTATTATCAAATAACAATAACATGGTGAAAGACGAAAAAACAATTGATCAGTTTTCAATGATAACATCAAAATTAAAAAAGAATTCTTCGGAAGAAAAAAGTAACGATTCTTTTTCCATATTACCGTCAAATTCATCTAGCAAATCAAATTATAGTGATAATTGCTCATTAAACATTCACTTATCAGATAATGATAATAGTAATGATATTGAAGTAGAAATAAAAATAAAGCCCAAATTGAAATCTCGAGTATCACGGAAATTTTCATTAAAAGCACCTTGGTCTGCAGTAAGTACATGTATCAAAAACTTACACACACTTAAGGATAATCCGAGCTTTCTTAATGAACTTTTGCAGATGGATCATAGAACATCTGAAAAGTTTAATCGCAAGGTCACAAATACAAAAGAAAAGAAAAACGATACGTCATTAGATAATGTTACTGCCGAGACTGACGAAATCATACATAATTCTAGTCCTACTACTAAAGATGATGAAAATCATTCTCAACAACGAAATTCTCAAGACCGTCCAATTTTAAACGAAGATAAAAATATGATAGCTTATGATGACAAAAAAGAAAAAAATGAGTGCACTCAATCTTTCATACAAACGACTCCAATAATAACTGAAAACAATCTTGACTCAAGTAGATTTGCGTGTGATACATCCGATTTGGGAAAACAGTCACAAAAGGTTGTCGCAAACGATAAACAGAAAAACAATGAAGAACAAAATTTTCAAAATAAAACAACTTTAGAGGGAACTAAAAATGTAGTGAAGCATAATCAGGTTAAAGAAATTGAAATATTGTTTGTCGAGAGAAAGAAACCGCAGATAACGACTGAAAATAATCTTGAATCAATTAAAGCTGCAGACGACTCGCCTGATGTAGCAGAACCACAAACTTCCTCGAATATGACACATAAGAAAGTACGAGTCCGTTCTATTGCAGAACTTAGTTATCAGTGTATCGAGAAATCTGTGAATCTGACTGCATCGATTCCAAAAAGTGTATGCTCAACATTCTGTCAGTCAGTATCTCAATCGACAACTGTTCATTCAACATCTTCTCAATTAGCACCTCAATCAACATCTCGATTAGCACCTCAATCAACATCTTTTCAATCAGCACCTCAATCAGTGTTTTTTCAATCAGCACCTTCTCAATCGGTAGCTTTTCAACCAATACTTCCTCAATCAACATGTCCTCAATTAGGACATCCTTCATTAGTACCTCCTCGATTTATATTTCCTCAATCAACATCTCAGTCAGTATCCAAACGGCCGTCGCCACTATCACATAACACCACTCTTAAACATACATACCTCTTACCTAATACAAGTTCTGCGGTTGCATCGGTTGAAGTTAATACTCCAAATAATAACATTCTCAAAAATTTAATACAGATTACAATCAAAAATATCTGCACCAATATTGGATATTGTCGCAATCTTGATCAATATAATCATGTAAGAATAAATTTTCCTGAAGATTACGTACAAAGATTATCTTTAATTATGCAACAAATAAATCAAGACTTAGAAAACTTGAAAATGTGGCTGAATATGAAGAATATTGACAGCACGCTGATTTACGTTAATTTTTATATGCCAAAAAATCACCCAGTGACAGTTCCGGAATTGCACAAATATATGCAAATTTGTTATAATTACTTACACATCTCACAGCAAAATTATGCAAACTCGTCACAATATCCGAATATTAACAGATTACTTTCAAATGCATCAATGTCGAATGTTGACGCGCAACAATTTTCGAGAAATGCTTCATTTCTAGATACAAGAATGCTAAATCGTGACACATTCATGCCGTCTTCAACAATGCCATGTCCGGCACCAACGACCTCAAACATTAACCAGCAGCAATTGGTTAGAAATTCAGCTAATTCTACACAAGTACCACACTCGAGACAACCTAGGCCAAATATTCATCAATCATATATGTCTTATGTACCATTTACAGCACAATCCCGTATGCCGAACGCTAATCAACAACAATCTTTAGAAAATGCGAGTCATCCGATACAAGGCCGATATATGCCAGCAAATATATTGAATGCTGGCGTCCAACAGGATTTTCTAATTGTGAATAACATTCCATCATCGAATGTTAATATGCGCTCGCGTGAACCAGTAAATCAAGGAAATGCAAACGTGTCTTCTACAACTAACATGAGACAATTACACACCTTACAAAAAAATACAAGTAGCAATACTGCAACCGTATCTGCTACTAATAACGTGCAACAACAGAAACAAATGTATCTTCAAACATCGCAAATAAACTCAAGAACAGCAGTTTATCCATCGCCGACAAATCAAAATAATTCTTTTGGAGTATGCCAGACTGTGCCAGGCTGTGACAATATCAACTTATCTGGATCTTTCACGATAAATCCTGATACCTCAAGAATCAATGCTGCAATGAAAAATGCTAGACATAGGAACACCAATGTGAATCGACAGCAAGCAAGCTGCAGTCCACAAGTATCTCAAATATCTTCAGGAAAAACGCAATATTTGCCGCAATACAATCCAAACCAAACTTATCTTATTGTAGCTCAATCTGCACATTCCAACATACAAACGCATCCCGTTCAGAATACTTTGCCAAATCAAAACGTGTGGCAAGTACAGCAACAGCAATTGGCAGTAAATCACGGGAATACAAGTATACCTTCTACAATCAACAAGAAACAACCATATATCATAAGAAATGTAATTAGCAATACTACAACCGAAAAAAGCCATAGATACATCTTGCCCAAAGATACAACCACATATCCAATTGATCTATCGATTAATGATCTCTCACAAAATGTACAACAAAACATGTCGCAACAGAAATTGACAGTAAATCAAAGGAATGCAAACATGCCTCCTACAATCAATACGAAACAGTCACACATGACATCAAAAAATCCAATTAACAGTACAACCATAACAAGCCAGTACGTATCCAAAGATACATCTATATATCCAATTAATCTATCGATTAACAATACATTGCAAAATGTGCAAGAAAACGTGCTGAATAAAGAAGGAGAGATGACCGAGTCACAAAATACAAATCGCATGCAAAAAAAGGCACAATCTATGAATCTACGAGATACACATCAAGAAATTCTAAGTGTATGCAACAAATTGCAAAATATTGACACTGTTTCGGAAAACACAAGGTCTTCTAGACAAAGATTGAGTGTCTTACAAAGTATGATGTCTACAATATCTCCAAATAAAAATGATGCAGTGTTATTTTTATCCGCAATCGAACGAAAAAAGCAAAGAAACAAAGTTATGTTCTCTAATAATTTGGCGAGTCTAACGGACATTCAGAAAATCCTATTGCGTGATCAAATAAAATCGTATTTTATCATGTGGGACGAACTGAAAAATTTGCTTAGCAAGCAAGAATTCGAACGAGTACATAATGAGAGAATAATATTATTTTACTCGTACGTGAATGTAGATGATTACATAAAGAGCATAATAAACGAATCACAGACCGTTAAAAAATCCGTCGAAAAAAGTTCACAAAATAATATGTCACAAACCAAGTCAACATTACAAGAGGGTACAATACAAACATCCGAAGACAAGTTAACGAAGACTCAACTTAATCAAGACAATGAAAATAATTTAGAATATAACAGAATTTCAGAAAAGCAATCAGAACAAAGTATTGATTCGAATATTTCTAAGAGTCCAAAATCAGCGATAAAGAGTAATTTAGAAGCGTCAAATGAAGAGTTTGAGTCACTTTGTACATCTGTGATAACTAAGAAATTTTATCCAAAAGATATAAGATCACAAGAACAAGATAATAATACATTGAAGAAGCAATTCCAAAAAGGTTCATTGATTGATACGGAAAAAGAATCTCGGAATACAGAAACACTGTCGCCAGAAGAGAAGTTGATCACAGAAGTGTCTGCCAAGAATTTGAAAACGAAAACACAAGATAATGCGAAAATTATCGAGTCTCTGAAAGTGACAAATTCATATGACCCCTCCCTTAAACAAAATCTACTGTTTAATTTATTACAGGATATGCCAACTGAGAACATAAAAGATCAATTAGAAATTATGATAAATAATATAAATAAGAGATTTAGTAATGTAGAAATGGAAAGCGTACGCGAAACTTCTGACATTGTAATATTAAATAGTAGCAAACAAAACGATGGGATATCACGAGCTCAATATAATATGGAAGACCAAAATAAAATAATATATAATACCAATAATGAAATATCCAGTAAAAATTTACGAGATGGAATGCGTGATGACGTCAAAGCGAATACTGAAATATTAAATTCCACAAAGATACAGTCTGATTCATTGAATATATTGCATATTTCAGAATCGTTCCCATCAAACAACATACAGAAATCGATATCTCCGAGAAAATATCTTGGAAAGAAATGTGAATCTACCGAAATATCGGAGCCACATATCGTAGATGAGGAACATGCCGAAGTAACATCAGAATTTTGCTTAAATATACAGCAACAAGATCCTACGAATGAACGAAGTAATGATTCCACTGAAAGTTTCGGGAAACTGTATATCGACGAAAATATGGAGATGCAAACCCAGTGCGATAAGATGTCTTTTGAAGAAAATAATTTAAAATCACAAGATTCAATAGAACTACTTGATACGATAAGCTGCGATTCTACGAAAGTAACATCATTTTCTTTTCTCAAAAACACTGCTAAGGCAGATTTATTTGATACATATCAAGATTTCAAAACTGAAGCACAATACATTGAGGAACTCGATGAACACCAATCATTAAAAATAGAGAGAAATAGAGAGAAGATGCAGCTACAAGATGTATCATTGAAGTTTGAAGATGAATGTAATGTGAGAGAAAGTGTGATACAATCGACCAATATCATAAAAAAACATGAAGATACAACAAAAGAAAATAATGAGTTATTAATAACAGAGGAGATCGAGTTTCAAGAAATGTCATCAAATCGTGAAGTTTCAAAAGACACATTACATGTCGAAAAGAGCATGACAGAGTCGATCTATTTAAAATATCCTGAAGATATAGAAGAGGAAAAGATGGAATTAAACGCTCAAAAACTTTCTGAAGATATAGAAGAGGAAAAGATAGAAATAAACGCTCAAAAGCTTCCTGAAGATATAAAAGAGGAAATAGATACTTACACTATTATTAAAATGGACAACAAAAATAGGGAGCAATCACTATTAAAAATAGAGGAGGTCGGATTTCAGAAAATGTCATCAAAATTTAGAAATCCGGAAGATATATCAAGTATCGAAGACAACTCAACAGAGTCGGTTTACTTTCAACTTCCTGAAGCTATAGAACAGGAAACGATAAATATAGACACTCAAGAGCTTAAATATATAGAAAAGAAAAAGACGAAAATGGATACTCACAGTGGTATTAAAGCAATCAATAAACAGCTCAAGCATGTATCCGAACAAAAATATAGAAAATCGCGTACTCATGCACTTAATTCCTTTCAAAGAGACGATTTTCTCGATGTAAATGAAAAAGAAATTTCCGCCAAATTTTCCGCCACTGATTTTCTTGACGCCGATGATATCGAATATATTTCCCTGAAAAGCGATGACTCCAATAGCATGCCGAGTATCTTGGACATTAGGAGTATATCGCCATCATCATTCGAGAAGATGAAAAATATAAATGCATTTCTTGAAAATAACTCAGAATCGTTGACTAAAAATGATGAAAACTCGTTGGATATAAATGATAATTTGGGAATTTCGGATGAGATAGATGATAGGCTCTGTTTACGATGCAAACGCAAAAGTATAGTATACTGTCAGGCTTGCTTGGAAGCTCATTATTGCTCCAAACGTTGTTCGTCTTTGCATTGGAACGCGGAACACTACAAGCAATGCAAGGGTCGTAATGCGATTATCTGTATCGATGAGTAATATAAAACCATATATATTTGTATCTTAAAATACTTCATACAATAATCTTCTGCTAATATATTGTTAGCATCAAAACATTTCTCAATTAAACAGTATTCATTGTTATGTTGTTGTTGTCATGTATTTAAAACTATATTGACGTGTTATTTTCGTAACAAAACTTTTCTATTAGTTATAAGATATATATAATAAGGTAAACGTTCCAGTGACACACCGGATATGTATCTTTGTTCAGATACTTACACAAAATTTATTATTATTAATCTCAAATGTTTTTTTAAAATATAATTTAATTTTTTTTTAATTTAAATTTTTAATTATAATTTAATTGTAATTTTTTAATGTAACTAAATTATATTGTAATAAAAAAAAAAGAG